AAAGCCGATTTGGTCAGGGGACAAGAAAACTGGCAGTTATAAGACTGGAATTTACCCCGTTTTGGCCAAGCCCTGAAGAAATGGAGAGACTAAACCCAGCGACTGAAAGAAATGACGTCGCAAGCGTGACTACTACGTCTAAGCGCTCTGAGAACAAATTTCGTTTTTTCCACGCAGAATCAACGGACAAACGCCATTGTACTTACTGTGATGACGGACGCGAGTCACATCTCGCGCGATTGCACGCAAGCATCCACGATAGACGAGAGGAGAAGAATACTAACGCAGAAGCGGATGTGCCTTAATTGCACTGGGCCAAGACATCATGCAGCTGGGTGCAGAAGTAAAATGCGTTGTCAGAAGTGCAGACAGAAACACCATACATCGATTTGCAATCAAGGAGACCAATTGATGACAGCCACTGGAAACCACGGGTGGAAGTAACCGTGGAGGGAGTACTGTGTCGTGTTCTTCTGGATACAGGAGCTGGTAGCTTGTATGCTTCAGCCGCGCTTTTGGAGAAACTTCCCACGTGCTCTCGGGCTAAAGAAGTTCGTCGAATAGAAATGATGCCGGGATCGACCACACGTGAAGTAGAACTTTCCACAATCAAAGCACGTTCAACTGATGGCGGTGAAAAATTAAACGTTGACGTTACCAACTTTCGAAAGACAGGAGTTGCTGATGATCAATAACCCACACTATCAAAAGATTATCGAGTCACGGAGTTGAGATGACGGACTTTGACCCTAAGCCAGCGAGTATGCTGCGGTCAATACGTCCGAGTGCCCCCGCGTTGGACTCCCAGGGGAACCAGGGCCGAGTTGTTCGAAGGCCGATTAGCGTTTAACCCCGGCTTAAATTTAACCCAGGTTTCTTTTTCTTGTGTTCCAAAGCATTTTCTGGGATAATTCTCTCTTTTAGTTTTAGAGCTTTCAATCATCAACTTGTAGACAAAAACAATTAAGACTGAAATGCTTTTTAAGCTTTCAAATCTGAATTCAAATCTCGCACTAACCCTGGGTTATCTTAACTCACCTTTGAACAACTCGGCCCAGTAGCAGAAAAGACCAAGCTGGGGTGGACTATTATGAGATTGACCACACGAATATGCTGCTGACAGAAACGAGTCATGTGGATTATGCAGAACTTTGTCGGCTAAACGTCTTGGGTCATAAAGATACCTCAGAACATGATCAGTGCAGAGGCTACACAGAGTTTAGAGAACAGTTGGTACGACACCCGGAAGGCTGGTATGAAACCTCGCTATCATGGAAAGGTGACCATCCGCCTTTACCAGAAACCTCCAGAACAGACCTCAGCGCTTGGATGTGACCGAGAGTTATACAGAGATCATTGAAAAACAGAAGTCCGAGGGAAAAGTAGAAGTCGCAAGTGATCCACCGCAGGGAAAAGAATTCTACATACCTCACAAGCCAGTGATTCGTATGGGAGTTGTAACTACAAAGCTAAGGATAGTTTATGACACCTCGTGTCGCAAGAACCCTCAAGTGCCAAGTGCCTAGCCCCAGTTGTCAAGGATATTTACAACGCATCCCTGATAAAGGGTTATTTTCCTGATGCCTTGAAGGCCTCACTGCTGAACCCAATCCCTAAAATCTCACCTCTGCAGCAGATAGAGAGCGATTTGCGGCCCATCGCTCTGACATGCACTCTTGCTAAGGTGCTTGAGGGATTCACACGGGACCGCTTGATTACACAAGTGTCTCATCAGATCGACACGTTAGTCTATTTGCTGCAGGCTGTGTATGAGGCAGTGGATACAGGGAGCTGTGGTGCTAGGCTTTTTTTTGCTGACTACTCTAAAGGTTTTGACATGATTGAACATAGAGTGCTGATTGAGGAGCTAAGGAAAATGCATGAGCACCATGTTCTAGTTAACTGGATAATAGCTTTTCTGTGTAACAGGACTCAGGCTGTGAGGATTGAGAACATTATATCTGGGTGAAAAACTCCCAAGGGCGGTATACCACAAGGCACCAAGTTAGGAGTCATTTTGTTTACAATCATGACAAATAATTTATTGCGCCCATGGGACCTTAGAATACAGTTTGTTGATGATACCACAGCCCTTGAAATAATCCTTAGGAACAGTGCCAGTCTACTCAATTTTGTTACAAACGATATCTATGCTTTTTCTGAAGATCACAGAACGAAACTGAACCCTACTAAATGCAAGGAGATGCTAATTAATTTTATGAGTAATCATAATTTTATTGTGAATCCTATTGTAATAATTGGTAGTAACACAATTGAGAGAGTCATGACATATAAGTTACTAAGCGTTTATGTAAGTAATGACCTGAAATGGAACCATCATGTAGAAGTTATAGTGCAAAAAGGAAACAGGAGGCTTTACTCTTTAAGGATCCTTAAGCAATGTGGTGCACCTCCAGCTTCACTGGCTTAGGTTTATACAACCATTGTTCGTCCTGTTCTAGAATATGCTGCCTCTGTCTGGCAAAATATACCAGTATTTCTATCTTATAAGATTGAGAGCATTCAGAAAAGGGCTATGCGCATCATTTTTCCTTTAATGAATTACAACAAGGCATTAAATGCCCTTAATTTAACAACTCTAAGTGACAGACGCGCCCATCTATGCCAGGTTTATATTGATAGACTCCGGAATGAGAATCACCCCTTGCATTTTATGCTCCCCAAACAGGAGGAGGTTGTGCATAATTATAATCTTAGATCTGGTATTAGCGGCTCCGCGCGTCCTACCTGTAGGACCAAGCGCACGCAAGAGTTTGTCACGCATAAGTACACCTAGTGGCTTGTACAATTATATTTTCTAATATTTATTGGATTTATTGTATTATATTTTAGTATTATATGTTTTGTAAATAGCTCTGTAATTCAGCCATTCTGTATATTGCTGCAATGAGTCTCAATAAACAGTCATTATTATAAGCTGTATGCCGGACCACAGCTTCAGAATCACCTGTGGCGTATTTTAGTGCGCATGCGCTTTCCTCCAGTCCTTATTACTAGGGACCTACAACAGGCCTTTCTTCAGGTACGCATAAAGAGGGAAGAGAGAGATGTACTCAGATTTCATTGGAAGACCAGCTAACTTCCTGAAGTGGAAGTGTTGAGACTCATGCGAGCTCTGTTCGGTCTTGTGCCTTCTCCCTTTCTTCTTGGGGGAGTGATAGAGTGCCATCTTGAAACCTGCGAGTCTCATGTGCCGCAACTTGTTACAGAACTGCGCAAAAACATGTCTGTCGACGATCTGATCAGCGGCAAACCAACAGTACCAAAGGCGAAGCAGGTGAAAGAGGGAGCCATAAGAATCTTAGATGATGCTAAGTTCACGCTGCACAAGTGGCACTCGAATGTTGCCTAGTTAGAAGAGAGTGAAAGAGGAGTTGAAGACGAGGGCACATTTGCCAAAAAGCAGCTTGGTCAAACAAAAGCAAAGACCGGCAGTTGGACTCTCGTGGGACAAACAAGAAGGTCAGAAAAGTGCTGTTATGCCTTAAGATGATACAGTGGCGTCCAAAAGAACATTGCAGCGTAATCTGTCAAGAATCTATGATCTCCTTGGTCTCGTGGCGCCGGTAACTATCAAGGGAAAGTTCATCTACGTAGATGTTTGCAACGTGAAGATGGCATGGGAAGCACCGCTACCCCCACAGCTAGCAAGCCAGTGGACATGATGGAAGAAAGAGTTACCAGCCGAGGTCATGATGAAAAGGGCCTTGACATGTGCCCAAGAGCAGATTGAAGGAGATGCAAGTAAGAACGGAGTGTGTGCAACAGTGTTTGCAGTTATGAGACAGCCGTCATGGGTGAGCCAGGGTTTGGTTACTGCAAAGGTTCATCTAGCGAAGCAGGGGCTGAGGATTCCGCGATTAGAGCTGGTGTCAGCACATATAGCAACAAACCTTATCACAAACGCAAACGTAAGGCGCTTGAAGGGTTTCCTGTTAAACGGAGCTATGGAAACCTGGATAGCTCAGTGGCTCTCCATTGGATAAAGGGTGGCAGCGAGTACAAACAGTTCGTAGCAAACAAAGTGACGAAAATACAAAAGCACTCAGGGATCACTTAGCGCCATGTACCCACCAAGGAAAATCCGGCAGACCTAGGAAGTCGAGGAGGGCAAGTAGATGACAGCAAGCTGTGGTGGCAAGGTCCGGAGTGGCTTTCAGACAAAGAAAAGTGGCCTACAAACATCTGAGAGCCAAGCAGAACTAAAGTTACCAATTAAAAGACCTTTTAAATGGCGCCACTGTGTCAACTGACTGCCTCAATGATCTGCTAGGAAAATTTGACCTGACCAAAACGTTAAGGATTGTCGCCTGGACCGCGAGATTCATACGGAATTCACGCCTGAAGAAACAAGAAAGAATGATAGGTCCATTGACGACCGACGAGATTAACAACCAACACCCGTTTTGGACTAATCACGCTTAAGAGACTCAAAGATACGAAGTGACAGACGATCAACAAAGACTGGGTTTAAAAGAAAACGGCCAATATGTCGAGGTCGTGTACAGGGACATTACCCGGTATACCTTCCTGACAAGCACCCTTAAACAATGAAACTCGTTGAAGACGCCCATCGTCATTCGTTACATAGGGGAGTTGGTTTGACAATGGTGCGCATCAGAGAGCGTTATTGGGTACCAAGGCTCAGACGTCAGACCAAGAGGGTGATTAAACAGTGTTATGGTTGTCGCCGTTTCCAAGTCAGAGCCGCTGATAGACCACCACTTGGAAATCTACCGCGAGACAGAACTGAGGGAAATCGCACTTTTAAGTGTGACCCTAAAAAGGGAGGGAAAGGCATACATAATCCTGTATGCTTGCAGCCTCATGCGAGCCCTCTGCTTGGAACTCAGCAGGATCATGGAGACTGGCGAGTTTCTAAGAAGTCTGAAGCGTCTAATAGCTAGGAAAGGAAGGCCAAAGAAGATTTACTCAGACAACGCCAAAACGTTTGTCGCCGCGGCTAATTGGTAAAAGTAAGTCCAGCGAGATGAACATTTTCACCGTTACCTGTCGACTGAGAACATCAAGTGGCAATTTAATTTAGGCCGCGCCACCATGGTGGGGCGGTCAGTTCGAACAGTTGGTTGGCCTTGGGAAGCGTGTCCTTAACAAAACAATTGGAAATGGTTGCCTCAGCTGGACGGAACTTGAAGACGTACTACTAGATGTGGTGACTTTGAACAATCTCCCACTAGGTTACGTGAAGGATGAAATACGATTGCCTTTGATCACACCTAACAGTATGTTGTTCATCGGTACCACTGTCCTACCAGAGAGGGAGCCAAATCGCGAGCTTGGTGAACTACGTAAACGGGCCAAGTACCTGAAAAGGTGCAAAGACGCCATGTGGAACAGGTGGACCTGGGAATACCTCAGAAGTCTTCGCGAGCGGCACAATTTGAAACATGACGGGAAGGGAAGCACTTTGACTGTTGGTGATGTTGTCATAGTTTATTCGGAAGATCGAAACAGAGGGAAGTGGCACTGGGGATAGTTGAGAAGCTGTATACTGCATGGAAAGGAGTGGTAGGAGGGGCTAAGCTGCTGACGGGAGGTGGCTACCTTGAGAGAGCAGTAAACCACCTCTACCCCTTGGAACTGTCGTGTGACCGGACGACTTTGATCAGGAACAGCTAAACCCAGAGGCACGAGAGTTCAGACCTACCCGTGACGCGGGAATTGCAGTAAGAGTACGAATCCGAATGTCAGTGACATGTTCACGAGAAACGAGGGATAAAGACGGATGTGGGGATTCAATTTTCAATGCTCGAAACGAACAAAGAAACTCAAATGGAAAACGAGTTAAAGCTCTTTTTTAAAAGGGTGTCCAGTTGCTGAGTTTCCAAGCTGAAGATTGACTTCATTTGAGAAGAAGTTAATTACCGTACGTAGTTTGTGATTTTGACATGGCTGAAATGGACAACCCGCGGCTGTAAACAAGCACAATTTGCATATCTGACGGATTGATCAAGAATGTCTGTTTTTGGCATTTTTTTTCTGCTTTAAGGTGACTCGACCCAGTTTTTTTGAGGGGGTACCATCCTACTTTGAAGCTCTCTGGTATCCCCACCTTTTCTTTTATCGTACGTCTAACACACAGAATGGATAACATATAGATCAATCTACAATATAACATAAAATTTTTGGCGATCAGAGTAAACGTCACGTGGTTATGCCACGCCCCTTTGAGGTCTGAGTCGAAAATCTGCTGTTGCCGGCATTTTTTCGTGAAAATCTCTCGGCTACCCATAGTGCGCATTAGTGCCTTGCGCTGAACAGAGTTTCACCAAAATCGTAAAGACCCAATTCGAGAAATTCAGCGGTTTCCAAATTTAGGTCATAATTTATGCGAAAATGATAAGCAAACTTTACACGATTATATCTAATAAACTATGACATTCATCCCTTTATTTTGGGCATCGTTATAACAGATGGGTCCTTGCAAGTCAACAAAACGCTTTAGGGCCTTGTAAATGCGCGCGATTTCGAGCAAAGCAAACATATAGAAATTATAGTTTTCGCTATTTGTTGACGTTTGTCAGCGTTTAAGAGTCCTTCTCACGAAAAAAGCATTTTCTTAAAAATTCGTGGTTTTTTTTTCCTTCAAATTTTTTCAGGGCACAATTGACTAACTAACTACCCGGATTGTTTTGGCTGAGTTTGTGCTTTGGGAGTTGTCTATTGTTTCTAGTCTGTCATGATACAGCATTCTTGTTCAGCACGCGTGCAATGACCGCGCTTGGCTGACTTCCGAATGCTCACCGAGATATGATAATTTTGGTAGAGAGAGAGAGGCCATCGCGTGATACATAGAGGTTTAACTCACAATTTTTAATCAATTCTCGTGCTTCTTGTGCCTTTGCAAAAAAATCAAGAAGTGCTACAAACTAAATCTACTTACTATTACAAAAATATCATTTTTTCATAGGTTTAATGCAAGCCAATAATTAAAACAACTCGTGACGGGAATCCCTTCTATTTTCTCATACTAAATTATCACATCTCGGTGAGCATTCGGAAGTCAGCCAAGCGTGGTCATTGCACGCGTGCTGAACAAGAATGCTGTATCATGACAGACTAGAAACAATAGACAACTCCCAAAGCACAAACTCAGCCAAAACGCTAAAAATCTTCAATGTTTACTCAAGTTTGGGTTTACAGAAGATAATGTCACAGTTTTTCAATGACCATCAAATTCAGCGTTCGGGTAGTTAGTTAATCAATTGTGGCCCTGAAAAAATGTGAAGGAAAAAAAACTACGAATTTTTAAGAAAATGCTTTTTTCGTGAGAAGGACTGTTAAACGCTGACAAACGTCAACAAATAGCGAAAACTATAATTTCTATATGTTTGCTTTGCTTGAGATCGCGCGCATTTACAAGGCCCTAAAGCGTTTTGCTGACTTGCAAGGACCCATCTGTTATAACGATGCCCAAAATAAAGGGATGAATGTCATAGTTTATTAGATATAATCGCGTAAAGTTTGCTTATCATTTTCGCATAAATTATGACCTAAATTTGGAAACCCTTAATTTCTCGAATTGGGTCTTTGCGATTTTGGTGAAACTCTGTTCAGCGCAAGGCACTAATGCGCACTATGTGTAGCCGAGAGATTTTCACGAAAAAAAGCCGGCAACAGCAGATTTTCGACTCAGACCTCAAAGGGGCGTGGCATTATAACCACGTGACGTTTACTCCGATCGCCAAAAATTTATGTTATATTGGAGATTGATCTATATGTTATCCATTCTATGTGTTAGACTTACGATAAAAGTAAAGGTGGGGATACCAGAGAGCTTCAAAGTAGGATGGTACCCCCCTCCCCCCCCCCCAAAAAAAAACTGGGTCGAGTCACCTTAATTTATACAAACTTAAAAAGGCTACATAAAGGAAACAAGTGCTCGATACTTTGAGGATACACAACAACATTCTCAGCTGATGAAAAAATATCTATCTTATTAAAGTCGTCATGTGTAAACCGTCAAGCGGGTGATTCTATGTAAATAATGCTGAAAAGGTGCCCTTGAAAACGTTTGATCACGTCCAACCCAAAACGATACCCGCACCTTTGACTTTATTTTCTGACAGAATAAGGTAAGATCTTTACTTTGAAGTGGCATTTTACCTGTGATTTTTGCACCGTTTTGGAGATTTTAGCTTTTACTTAGGAAGAATTTGTCAAGGGAGAAAAAAAACCGCAAAGTGGCTTGTCTTTGATCTTATTAATTTAATTTAACTTTGCGTCAAATTATTCCATATTCCGTCATAGGAAAAGTCAAATGCAGCTAAATCCAGTGTACTATATGTAGAATTTACCGATATTTATCCGTTACGAAGAAGCGCGGCTTTTAAAATTACCGAGTTTCGGTCATTGAAAAAGCCTGAAAAATCGCTCTCAGACAGGAAATAACTTTTGTTCTGTAGCGAAGCACCGAAAAAGATTTTGAAAGAAATTAGTTAGATTTTAATCATTTAACATTAAGTCCTTTTCACTCACAAAAAATAAAGGGGCGCTTTACTCACGATCCCAAACTCACCCGACCGCTCTTAGGTGAACAGCCACTTAAATGATCTTTGCTGACGGTTTTTTCAAGTGTTGACATTGAGTAACAAAAATAGTAAGATGTTTCATAATAAGATTTGATATAGGTATATAAAAGCGACGATTTAACTAGAGACAGACCTGGTCCACACGTGAATCTTCTTCCTTTTCACCATTGGCATCTCCAACCTCTTTTCCATTCTTGTAATTATCATTTTTAAGGTTGCCACCGTTGCGTTTTTCTTTGTCCTCCCGAACCCAATTATGGCTACAAAGCTTCCCCACCACCATCTGTGCCACATCTTTAGAACAACCCAACAACCCTCGTTCACTCTTACCAGTGGGTTGCCAGTTCTTAACTTCATTGACATCCACTCGAAAGATTGACGGATCCACTTCAATTCCTTCAGTACTATTTTCTTTTGAATCAAATGGTAGACCAATGAGAGATTTTTTCAAACTTGTTTTTCCTGCCCGATCCTGACCAATAAATAATATCCGAGAACGCTGAACGTTAACAGCCCCATCTCTAAGAGCACGTTGATAAACAAGCTGCGCTCTTTCTCCTCGTGCTTCTATTTCTAAGGGAGCTACAAGGAATGCAAAATAAATCAAATTGATTAATAATGCAATAAAAGTTTTGTTTCCACATATACATCTAAACATCCTTAAACTTGCACTATATAGCACATGTGCTTGACTTGCCACGTCAGTCTCTGTTAAGAGCAACCAACCGGTAGCCTGCAGATCATGGACACAAGGTTCACACCCCGCTAAAAAATAGCTGGGCAAAACCAAGCACAAATCTGAATGCTTCTTTCAAATTTCATAAAGTAGTTTAGTATTCATGGGTTATTTTACAGATAGCATCATGTTGCTTAAAGGATTCACTGTTTATACTGATTACTACGTGAGTAGCTGCTACCCAAATTTATGTTAATATTCACGAGGATAATAAAGAAAACTTACCATAGAGGGTAAGTTAATTGAAAGATACTTTTGAACTGTTATCTTTAACTTCAGAGAGTATAAGCATCTATCTGCAAGTTTCTTTTACCAACTTGCAGGATTGTTCTATTAAAAAGATGATTTTTATGGCCATTAACAAATATTCAAAAGTAGGTTGAGTTTGATCGTCCGGGTGAACGTAGTCCTGAATAGGACTGTTGTTGTTGACAGTGACTGACGTTTCGACAACCTGTGCGGTAGTCATCTTCAGAGTCAAAGTGAGTTGTATCATGTCAGTTGATGGTATTATACTCTGGTTATTGATCTGGTTGGTCAATTACGTCGCGATGTTATTGGTCGTCTGTCAGTTAAGCCGTGATGTTATTGGCTATGAAGACTCGTAATCAGTAATTGGTGCGTTTCGATCCGTCTTTTGTCACAGTTAAACCGTCGCCTATTTTTAGTCAAATTGTCAGGTCTCCAGTCGTTCTCACGTAGTTAGTTTTGCTTGATCTCGTCAATAAGTCGTTTGTACGGCGCTGGTAACTGTTGGCTACGATTCAGTGCCGTTTGCTCTAAGTTAAAAATCAGCTTTCTAAAGTAAGACGTTGATAGTAGTCTGTAGAATACGTTATACATGTCGCAGAGTCCCAGTCAATTTGATGTTTCGTCTGTAAATGGTGCTCAGCAATGTGATTATTGACGTCACCATTCCTCGTCGCTCGTTTGTGTTCGGTCAGTCGCGTGCTTAGGTTTCTGCCGGTTTCACTAATGTAAGAAGCCTGGCAGTCGCAGCATTTGATCTTACATACTGCTCCCTGTCTGTCCTCCGGTTTTTCTTTGTCCTTGACATTAGTCGGCAGTCGCCGTAAAGTGGTTATCGGTTTGTGTGCAACACGTATATTGTAAGGTTGTAATATACGTGCAATAGTTTCAGAGGTGCCTCTGATGTACGGTATAGTCGCTGTCGTAACAGGGCCAGAGTTGGTCTGAGTGTTGGAATCAGTGTTACTGTGAGTGTTCCGTCTAACAAAGTCCGTGTTGTAATTGTTCTTACTAAAAACGTTGTTAAGATAATCAGTCTCGTCTTGTAGGCTGTCAGGTGAGTCGCAAACTAGTTGCGCTCGTCTCGTCAGAGTCCGGATAGTAGTAGCCTTGTGAGAGGTCGGGTTGTACGAAGACTGGTCTGGTAATCGGTCGGTATGTGTCGGTTTTCAGTAAATAGTCGTTTTTAGTTTGTTGTTGTCGCGAGTGACCAAGCAGTCTAGAAAAGGTATCTTACCATTTTCTTCGATCTCCTTGGTGAACTGTATGTCCGCGTTCTGTCTGTTAAGGTGTTCGTGAAAATCGTCGATTCCGTCTGTGTACGGCCGTGAATGTGTCGTCAACGTAACGTAACCAAAGAGGTATAGTTCGCGTGTAGGTAGCTAAGGTTTGTTCCCCGATGTTTTGCATGACAATTTCTGCTACAACAACAGAAACTGGAGAGCCCATAGCTGTACCGTGTAACTGTTTGTAGTGTTTGCCGTTGTACTGAAAGTACGTCGAAGTCAAACAGAGGTTGAGTAGATCCATAATGTCGTCTGTAGGTAGTGGTAGTTCAACAGTAGAGTTCTTAATAGCGTTCTCAGTACAGTCTAGAGCCAGTTGAAGTGGAATACTGGTGAACAGTGATTTCACGTCAAAGGACACTAGTTTGTGGTCGTCCGGTATCTGTATTGTCTTAATGGCGTCAATAGATAGATAGATAGATAGATAATCTTTATTTATCCACGGTACAAAATTCGTCAGCTTTAAAAATGCCTAATACTAATATAATAAAAATATTTAAATAAAAAAGCTGCTTTCCACGAATGCCGTGCCTTACAGTTCTCTGAGTAATCGTTTAAATTGCCCAAGGGACTCTGCTTCCCTTAAGTTACAAGGAAGACTGTTCCAGAGAATGGCGCCACTATAGCTGAAGCTGTTTTTGTAATAGTTTGTGCGCGGTAATGGAACATTGAATTTATTTTCAGAGTCCCTTAGGTTATATGCGACTTCTCGCCTTTCAAATTTAGAACTAAGATAGTTTGGAGCCAACCCGTGAAGAGACCTGTAAACCATCGTAGCTCTTTGAAATTGTTGCTGGCAAGCTAGGTTTTTCCACCCTAGAAGTTTGAAAAGGTGACCAGCATCTACGTCATAGCTTGAGTAGGTCAAAACACGGCTGCTCTGTTTTGTAGCTTTTGAACCTTATTCCGTAAGGTTATCCCACAGTTTCCCCAAACAATGTTGCAATAATCAAAGTGTGGCTGTATTAAAGCTTGATATATTAGTTGTAAGGTCGCCTGGGGGACAAGGTGCCTTATTCGTTTTATGGCCCCAATACCAGAAGCGACTTTCTTTGTTACTTTCTCGATATGGCCACTCCAATCAAGTCTGTCATCGATGGTCACTCCAACTGATTTTGCAGTAGTGACCTGGCTAACTTCAAAATCATTAATTGCAAATGTCGGGGACTCTGTGAGAGTACTTAGCCTCTGCCTAGATCCGATAAGCATAAATTCGGTTTTAGCCATATTTAGAGTAAGTTTGTTTGCTCTCAGCCAATTGTGAACATTTTCTAAATCTTGATTTAGATGCAACTGAATATTGTCTGCATTATCACCTGCGTACGTAAGGTGGGTGTCATCAGCGTACATCCTCGGCTCACAATTTGAAAGACAGTTTGGAAGATCGTTGATGTATAACAGAAATAATAATGAACCTAAAATCGTCCCCTGGGGAACACCACAACTTAATAAACAGCTTTGAGAGAGCGATCCGTTGATGGAGCACATTTGAGCACGATTCTCTAAATACGACTTAAACCATTGGTGCGCGTTACCATATATGCCGTAATTGCTTAATTTTGATAAAAGGATCTCATGGTCAACTGCGTCGAAGGCCTTTTTGAGATCTAAGAAAACAACGGCGTTGATTTTACCGCGGTCAATATTGTACGCCCAAGTGTCCGTGGCCTCAAGGAGAGCCGTGACAGTTGAGTGAATAGCGCGAAAGCCTGATTGATATTTACAGATTATATTGTGCTCTTCTAGGTAGGCATATAATTGATCATAGACGATTCTTTCAAAGACCTTGGCCATAACTGAGATCACCGAAATTGGACGATAATTGTTTAAGTCGTCCCGATCGCCTTGTTTAAAAAGTGGGGTGACCTTTGCGCATTTCCAGTCATCCGGAAATATGCCTTGACTTATTGACTGGTTAAAAATATCACGGATAGGAATGCAAATGAGATCTGCACATTCCCGAATGAGCCTAGCAGATATCTTGTCAAGGCCAGCTGCCTTATTTAGATGATTCAAAAGTGAGAGAACTTTATTTGTACCGGTCGGATGGAGCTGAAACCGTTTATCTGTGCCAGTGAGGTACTTTTGATAACCATCACTATTTGAGGAATCAATATTGCTAGCAAGTTCTGGACCGATAGTAGCAAAGTGATTATTAAATTGGTTCGACAGCACAGTTGGATTTGTTATTGATACTCCATTTACTTTCAGAGATGTCACCGATTTTTTTCCCAGATTTTCGCGAAGTAAGTTCATTGATAGTCTGCCAGGTCTTTTTAGAATCGCCCGTATGCTTGTTAAAACTATTTTGATAATAGGCTTGCTTGGCTAATCTGATTTTGTTATTTACTATATTGCGTTGTTTTTTAAAAAGTGACCAGTCATTTGAATCATTCGATTTACTTGCTTTAATCTTTAGAATATCCCGATCGTGCATTCGTTTCTTAAGCTCAGATGTAATCCATGGGGAACTACGCGTGCGAACACGCATTGTTCTCAAGGGAGGATGCTTGTTAACAATAGATAGAAACGAGCATTTCCATTGTAGCCACATTTGATTGGGATCAGTTGAATTGAATATGTGATCCCAACAATGAGATGCAATATCATTCCGAAAATTTATTCGATTAAATTTTCGATAGTTTCTGTAGGTTATAGCATTGTGCCCACCAGACATTCCATTCACGGATAATTTTCGATAGGCAAAAACTATGCTATGATCGCTAATACTGATATGACGAACCCCCGAACACACAACTTTATCTGGACGATTAGTATAGATTAAATCAATCAAAGTTGCAGAAGTCGGAGTTATTCTGGTTGGTTCAGTGATAAGTTGCTGTAGACCATAAATATCAGTGATACTCATTAATTTGCATGTATTATTGTCATATCGAGTAGCAATCATGTCGCAGTTAAGGTCTTCCATTAGAAAATATTCAATATTTCCAGAATCGAGTTTCCCAATTAAAGTTTCGAAAGGTGAAAAAATACCAATAGGAGAATCAGGTGGTCTATACCACGTGGCAACAACAAACGGTTTAGATCTAGGTTTTTGAATTTCCAGACATAGATTTTCAAGAGTGTCCATGTTTAAATCATTTCGTATGGTAAAATTTATTGAACTTTTCACATAGAAACACACTCCTCCTCCAACGTTTGTAATTCTATCACGTCGAATTATAGCGGAGCTCCCGCGCGCGCGAAGCACCATGGGTAAGAAAATTTGGTAAACTATCCATAACAGAAAATTTGGTTATGACGTGGCGTACGTCCGTCCGTACGGACTTTCCGGGTAGTGGAAAGTAGTCCGCATGGACTCTTGGGGTAGGGGAAAGTAGAGATTTTTTGGCGGGAAATCGCATGGCGCAACGTCGCGCAATTATATCGTGCAACTGGTTTTGAAAAAAAGAAAGCAAGTAGAAAGAGTCAGGGCGAGAAGAAGGAGAGAAAATTATAGTGAAAAACGCCGGCAAGCAGAACGAGACAGAGCTAGAATGAACAGACAAAGGCAACGCGAAAGAGAAATACAAAGGCAAAGAGAACGGCAGCAAAATAATGACATGATGACAGAAAGTGTTGTGTTAATGTCACTATGGCCCCGCGCTATTAACATTTTGATTTCACACTGATCTCGGACTCGAAAATTCAGCCAGTCATTTAAAAATACAAGCAGGGAAGACAGAGGCTTTTCACTTTTCTCACCATAGTCACGCGTTGATCACGCTCTACAACCGTCCAATTTTTATGCTCTGATTGGTCAAAATTTGACAGGTGAGTTCATGCAGAAACTGATTTATACAGCATCTTCAACCTTGTTTACTTTCAGTTTGACAGCTGAAGCTGACAGAGTATTTTGTCAACTTGTGATGTTTTTTACTGTCTTTTTCCACTGGATGCTTAAAATGAAATACAGTTGCTATCAACAGTCTTCTTTGATTCATGGCTGGTTTGTTTATTGAATTTTTGGTCGGGAAATGCGCCGGTTGCCAAAGTTGGAAATCCGATTTCGGATGCATCGCTTTCGTTTTTACCTTGCTGGATGCGGGTTGAAAAGTCCCTCAAGCGATTCTGGCCTTACTTTATAGCTTTCAAGAGCTGCATCTCGAATGGTAAGCCTAAGTAATTATTGTATACAGTGTATGCTTGTTTTTTTATATATAATTTCATGAAGTCGAGCGCAGTTTATGAGGCTAATTTATGCACGTTTGTATTAAGATCTGAGACAATGATCTGATCTAGTATATATAAGCTTACAGAGCTTTAAAAAGCCTTTAGTCGATATTTTCTCTCCGCATATAGAACGAAAAAACGTTCCGAAGAGTATTTAGTTATAATTTTGGCTGTAGAAAGAAAGCTTTGAGCGATTTTCTTGCCTCGAGTTCATCTTTGAAAACAGTAAACACCAGCTGAAGCCGGCTAAAAGCTTTAAGCTTAAGCTTAAAGACTCAGGATTTTTAGAGACGCTTTAATACTTGTCTTCGTGAATGAAAATTGTTGTCTCTGTAAATGTTTCACCGAATTACATTTCTTTTATTGATTGTTAGTAGTCTCTTACACTTTTAATCGCTTTGCCGTTTTTTTTCAGTCGTTCATAAACAACGCTTGCAGGAGTACTCAAAATGCCGCGCGTATCAAACGCTTTTTAAGATTACACATCGTTACAAAACCATTTAATAAAAAAAATAAACACAATAAATTCTTTATTATGTTGAAGCGTAACTCTTTTAATGTTCACTGAAAATTTGGCGCTTGTCAAAAGTGAGAACTGGCTGGCCGTATAGGTGATTTTGGAAATTTTTTGAACGGTTTTGCTAAAAGCTCACGCGTGCTTCGTACGGTTCTGAATATTGAATGAGTGCAATTTGTCTTGAAAAATTGTGAAATACTGCATTTTGTCTGAGGTCTATACGATAAAAACAACGCCTCATATTACTGTTTCAGATTTGATGTATAAAAAGTATGAAATGTTGGTTTACACGCTCCCAGAGTTGTTGGCAAGATTTTGTTAAGTAAACTTGTCGAACGCAAAAAATTCGGCCTGATTTGTTTTCCAAAAATTCGTTTTCCAGGCCTAATCTACTGTGATCAAGAGCAAATTATGGCTCTAAAATGTGATCGAAGATAATTGCTATTTTTCGGGTGTATATATACGGCTATCAATTGGATGTACGATTTTTTTTTTCACTCTAAAATCACTTAGCCTTAGCTTTCCCTTAAAGTTAACTGATTTGTGGATTACAAGTTTATTGTTTGATTTAAATTATAAATTTATTAATGGGAGCTTCGCTTTTAGCTCTGGCTAAATAACAATTATTCACCGAAGTGGAGGTGGCTAGTCCTGGATATTTACCGAACTGCGAAGCAGTCAGGTAAATATCCAGGACTAGCCACCGACACTGAGGTGAATAATTGTTTTAGTATATACTAAAACAGTGAGATAATTGAGCACAAAAATGACGATTTTTAACTCAAATACTGTTGCCAACGATTACAATTTTGGCGCGTAATGACTGGGCGGCCGCGGCCGTCGCTTTTTCTTGCCGACAATTAAAACTTTTGAAGGCATTTGTTCAGCTCTTGTGGGGAAATTTCTTCAAAAGGAGTTGTGAATTCTTTTTGTATTTAAAATCATTCTATAAAAAAGATTATTAAATTTAGTTTTAAGCTTATTTATGAACAACTCAACTAAATAAAGTAAGTAAACTTAATTTGTATTTGTAAACAAAAAACTTTTTCACCGGTTTTATCGATAAATTCGTGTCAAAAAGACAAAGCTTTACCTGTTAAAAGTTCCAATCCGAACTTCGTCACCGTCTTCGTGTATTTCGGAAACAGCTTGCTTGACTAGTTGTGAAATTTCTTTGTTTGTTTACGGCAGCAAACCGGGAAGGCATTTTGCTCGCAACTTACGCGAGTTTGGCGTCGCTCGCTCGGAGGAACTGGAGGTGAATCAGTGAATAGTGCAGGATATTCACTGATTGAGTAGCCAATCAGAGCGCGCGAAAAACACTATCCACTGTTTTAGTATATACTAAATCTATATATTACCATCAACTGACGTGACACAACTCACTTTGACTCTGAAGATGACTACCGCACAGGTTGTCGAAACGTCAGTCACTGTCAACAACAACAGTCCTATTCAGGACTACGTTCACCCGGACGATCAAACTCAACCTTTTGAAATGACTCCTGGGTTCAAACCTTTCACAGTATTATTGTTATTGTTCGATAGCTTCCTATTCACAACTTTTAATTGTACTTTTTACTGTTTATTTTTAATTGTAATTTTTCGGATTATTCTGTGTATATTTTCAATTATGATTATTAACTTTTTATAATGCGGGCCGTAGGTTGTCAGTTTACAGTTTTGCGTTACCCTCTTTAAATAAACTTGATACATACCTATATCAACTCAATCAACTTCTGGCAATCGATCACTAAACTAATATGAATTCCAGAGAACTCGGTTTACAAAAATCATATAACTGATTATTCCAATAGAACAGAGTGGGCGATTGATAATACCTTGACCATGTCAATTTAACAGCAGAATGCACAAATATTTTAGCTTGGTGTATGCTCCAGTCCTCCATCTAAAAATTAATGTTTTAAGACAAAGCTAACGCTAATGTTTAATATGGAAAAAAATTCTAGGTATTGCAGATTTTAGGAACAAAACAATTTATCTGGCTTAGACTGTTGGTTATTACTAACTGGTATGCATCTTTAGCTATCTTTTCTTTTATTCAATGTCTTTCCTTTAATTTTTTATTTTGTGTTTTGTGTAGTTGTACAGCTGTATTGGCATGCGTGATAGCGGTCCCTAACAATCATATAATCTTAATGTAATCACGTAAGTATGGCCGCTGCCCTATCCTTTTAGCCTCCTATGATTACTATGGGCAGCCTGACTACTCCTTTATTATTGATTTATATTATTTTTGTAATCAATTGTAAATTGCTGGTTATGAATGATTCATTAAGAGCGGCTGTTATCTATTATCGAGAATTCCTGTCAAAATTAAAATTTCAAAATTCTTCATAATCAGTAAGAATAAACCCTTTGGTGAGACATTTTGGAAAATCACAATCAAAGTTTCCAAAGAGCTTTCAAAGCCCATGGGAAAAAAAGCGGTTCAAAGAAAGAAGTTCATCTTTGGAAGGTAAGTATAGGCATCCCGGCCAATTACAATATTACAGCTGTATTTTGGTTAAAAATATTGCTAGATAATGCATTTTGTACTCGGCTAAAAAAAGCCTGAAGATTCCTGTCTTTAGCACTTTCACATGAAAATTTGCAAAACTTTGAAGAACGAAGTCATGGCTTGGTACATGGAATTTTAGAATATATTTATACCTCAGAAAAGTACAGCATTATAAAAAATCAACCATGGGCAATTGAAAAGCAACCCGTTGAGAGAGGTAAACGCGCAGTTCATTTTCGATGTTTTTTCATAAAATGTTCAAACCGTCATGCAACCGGGGATGAAACAAATTCCATGAAATCATTGTCAGCATGTGTGAGCTGATTCAAGAGATACATTTACGAAAAATTTTAAAAGGATCAGGAATTACAAAGAGTTTTAACAATTTTGGAATCGGGGGATCAAAATTTAAGCAAAAAACATGGGATCAGTCGCCCCCAAAAAGGTGGGTAGCTCAAACCCTGACCTCGACATTACTGATAGAGTCTCAACTTGGGCGTGAGTCTCACCATTTCACAACCTATCTAACTGACGCACGAGATGACAACCTACATGTATTATTTTTCACGCTTTCTCAAAAGTCACTCTCAATAAAAAAAATTGAACCATCTTTAGGGTTCATTTTCAAGTTTAAGTTCGTGGTCGCATTTAGAAAAGGTGTGAATTGCCAACCTGGTGCATTTATTACATTCTTACACCTTATCTCTATCAGGCGTCGATCATAGAACCCGAAAACGGATCATTCCGGAACATAAAAAATTACAATAATTTTTATAGAAACATTATTGATAAATAAAATAATTATAATGATAATAATAAAATAATTTTTGTAAAAATTAATAACAGCAAAGTAAATAAAACAATGTAACTCAACAGAACATAAAAAAGAAAAATAATTTATAGAGAAAACGAACTGAACTGGTATCATCTCTGACTATAAGAAAACAATATTTTGTTGCAATTAACTCATTGGGCAAGTGAGGGTACATGCAAAACATTATGGCAATAATGAGTGAAGGCTTGCCTCAAAAATTAAAATGTATTAAAATGGGTCTTGAGGAGAGGGGTCTTCAAGCTTTCCTCAAACAGCCACCTCTTGCCAAGAGGAAAGTATGTATTGAGAGAGAATGTTTGACCATCATGAGCAGTCAGATTATTCTAAGGGCATCATAAAAGTTCATGCATGCGAATAAATTCTTTGTTACGTGGGTCCCGCCTTTAATTAGAGTGCAATTACCGTACTCACTTTCACACCAAGAGATTCAAACTTCACACATCAAACCTTTTGATTGACAGCTACCAATTCTTGTACGAGAGTAGTCGACATTTAGTTGACTTTCCGAAAGCTTATTTATTCAATTATATGCTGCACATTGAGAAACTGGGCACTGTAAGTACATGTCGCACAAGACAATAGAATTCTGGGCGATGTGTTATTGTTTGCCATGCGGTTCTCAATCATTTGATGGTTATCCATTTATGATTATGACTTTGTAACCCTAACAAGAGCTTAGGTGCTCCTGGCTTTGGTTCCTTGGCAAGATTCACATTCACAGTGAATGGATTGTTTCAGTGGTAGTGGTAACACAGTGGTAGTTTCTATACTGTTAACAGTTAGCCTGAATTTCAGCGGTCTCCTGCAAGGAGATGCCTGAAAGTCCCCTATTTTCTTCCACCTAGTTGAAGATGGCAATTACCGCAGTCAAAGTGATATTGAGTATCCACGTGTTTTGGATATCCCTGTACCTAAATCACTAGTGATATGGGTCAGTCCCCATCAGGGATACCAAAAACACTGATCCTGCCTCTGATGACAAACCTGGTGAAAGCAAACTTACTTGAGAGATAAACATTTGCAATCCACCCATCTGCTAATCCAAATGCTTTGTTAAAACGTGTTTGTTGCTTGGACAAGATTTCATTTTGGAAACGTTAATTGTCTAGCTTGACTAGACTTTCTTGAATTATGTTGATTTGCCATTTAACCTTGTCCACTAAAATCCAAAGACAGGAGCCCCCAACCTCTTCTTTGTAGAGCCTTAGTGCTGACATTTCGGTAAGTAATTTATGTCAACCTCAAATAAGTAAATGTCGGTTATACATATAGGGAGACTATATGTTGGCTTGACTTAAGGTACCTGCCAACATTTCAGACTATCGTCAAATGTGTGAGGAAAGCGTGAAGATCCCTCTCCTAGTCACCCATTTTAATATATTTTGAACTTAGAGGCAAGTTGTCACTCAGTAATAGTCATTTGCATGGACCCTCACTCGCCCAACAAAATGTTGTTTTCTTACACTCAGAGATGATAATCTAGTTTCTTTTTCTTTATTTTTCATCTAAATATAATATGTTATGTTTTCTTTTTATTTTCTTATTACCAATTTTTACAAAAAATACTATTATCATTATTATTATTTTATTTTACTACACCTTTTTATTTATTGAATATTTTTTTATAGGGTTATTTCAATTTTTTACGTTCCAGGACGTTTCCTGAATTTTCTGGAAATATGTTTTGTTTTGTATAGGTAATAGCATGATTTATAGTGATATTTGGCATAAATACCATGGGTGATATTTCAAAATTGTTATAGGTAATTTCACGAGACTGTGGGCGAGTGAAATTTGAGACAATTTTGAAATAATTATCAGGAGTGATATTTATGCCACATATCTCGTACAAATCATGCTATTATTGGTTTATACTACTACCTGCAAATGGTTTGTAATTTTCACAAATTCAGCTGAAATACCACTGCTCTAAGCCAATCAAATTGGCGACTGGATCAAATTGTGCTTACAAGATGGTCGGAGTCGGTGAGGGGTGTTGACATTCAGGGAGGGTAATGCAAAACACATGCAGAGTCTCCAGATTTTACATTTCCAAGGTTTGGGTACAAAAACACTAAAGGCTTCACTTTTTAGTTATCCCGAGGGGGAAGGAACTTGATCACAGAACCTGGTCCTATGATAGGGCATTTGAACAGCTTTCTGGATCAGAGATGGGGGAATCTGAACACTAAGTTTTCAAAAATGCTTGACATACCTGACCCGGGGGTGTATGTTGATAGATACCACTACTGACCTCTAGATCGTATTTTGATAGTAAAAGGATCGTATTTTAAGTCGTATTGGGACCTTATTTGCGTCGTAAAGTGATCGTATTAACATCGTAAATTAACTTAAATAAATCGTATTCATGTCGTAAAGTAAGTTTTCAAAAAGTCGTATTGTGTCGCTTTTGCGATTAAGGCACGGTGCAATTACGAGCAAAAGAAGAGTTTTGAACTCGTATTTTTATCGTGAAATGTCGTTTTTACGATCCCATTCAGAGATTTTTACCATAAAAAAATCGTAAAGAAATCGTATTTTGTCGTTTTACGGCAAAGGCACGGTGCAACTACGAGAAGAAGAAGAGTTTTGAACTCGTATTTGTATCGTCAAATGTCTTTTTGACGATCACATTCAGAGATTTTTACCATACAAAACTCGTAGGAAAATCGTATTTTGTCGCTTTTACAATAAAGGCAGGGTGGAAGTGCGAGCAAAAGAAGAGTTTTGAACTCGTATTTGTGTGTCATAAAATGTCGTTTTTGCGATCACATTCAGAGATTTTTAGCATGCAAACAATTGTATGGAAATCGTAATTTTGTGTCAAAAAGTTGTTTAAATACATTCTTTAGTACTTCTTACGATGAAACTGATGTAACCACGGCCTGATTCCAAGCAAAAGAGGACACCACATCTCTTTAGACTACTTTTCCATGGTGCATGATACCACCCCGACAAATAGGTTCAGTCCTTCGCGGCCGCTTTCGTCTCGTCATGCAATGCCCCGTCTTCTGAGCGTTGCGTCAACGGTTGCGAGGGACAAAATAGAGGGAGACAGGTATGAACGAACTTTTTATCCTCAGTTCTGTACTGAGGTCCTGTTTTTTAGTATCCACTCTTGCGTTCACATTAATGAAATAGCACTAGAAATACGTTCATCGTAAAAACCACAAACTATTTATCTACAATGACAGCCGTCTTTTCCCCTGAGTTAAAGGTACAACAACTCTGGAACAACAGTTTCAAAAATAAACTTTAATCACGGCATGTCCTCGTAACATTTTACAGTTTGTAAAATCGGGTCGCCTTCATTGGCCAGAAGACCTCAGTTCCAGACTGTGGAAATAAAGGCAAAAAGACAATTTTCATGGTGGAGTTCTAAGAAGCAGCAAATAAATAAGTAAGATACAAATTAATTAGCGGCGCGAGTTCCAGGAGCCGCGGAGAGGTTGGTGCTAGGTGAGGGGCTGGTGGGGCTTAGTTGGGTGGGGATTGGCACTGAAGACTGTCAATTTTTATTCATATCCCGTCCTCTTCTTTCTAACTTTTGGACACCTTTTTTTCCTTGATCCTTTTTTGCAGTTCAACGTTACGTTCGTGATGTGATCGCAATGTCTATTGCTTAAAGGACAATGATAGCTGATGATTTTAATCTTGTCTCAAACTTGTTCTATTTTCTCTCTGTTTTCATTTTTCAGGTAATCTGTCAACTATCACAATGAAGAACCTACCTTCAGGCGGGAATCCTCACAAAGGACGCCAATTATGGAAACTACGAATTCGTTGCTTTCTTCTGCGAATACGAAATAAAGAATAGGTCAACGATCAGTGTAAAATTTCGCGCGCGCGTAATAAAAAAGGCCTATTTGTGATAATTATATATAGACCTTTCTACGCTTTTTGCCTTTTAGTATTTTTGATTCACAACTTCTTCTGTAACAAGCATTTTCAAATTGAAATTCACTCATAAAACTATTTCATTCCTAGTATGTCATTACGGGGGCCGAGATAAGTATTTGTTTTAGGAATATAAGTTAAAAACGATAATAATAATGCCCAATACTCTTCCCTGGTTCTCATGTACTTTACCATCTTGTAATAATGATCAGAGCGCCGACAAAGATTTACATGTTCCTTAAAGTCGCGTGTTTATTTCCTAGTGGTATTTCATTATTGTATATTCATTCATCACACGTCATTGTGATCCACCTCTCCTCATACAAACGGTTAAACTGATTTTGCGACCTCGCGCCGGATTGAGCTATATAATATGATCGCTCGTTTCGAACATATTGCACTCTCAAGCTCAAAAAATTTGCTTTGTCGCAAAAGTGTTCCAGAATTATGGTACTATGTATGTTATATTTTGAAAAGGATAATTATTCCATGTACAAACCATCTGGCTCTTCTAGAAGAATGCCCTTGGCAACTGGCACTGTCTTTGTCTCATCACGAAAGAGTTTTAGTTTTCTTCCAATCAATCTTCAAGAAACAAACAAAAAAAAGTTTTGGGGAATCTACAGATTAGAAATCGCACCTCAAGTAGCAAATACTTTCCAATGTTAAAGGGTAAATGTGGTACGAACAAGAGATAATGGTACGAAATGACACCGTTGTTTGCCCCTATAGCTACCACAATTCGCCGTCTACTTATCTCGGTGGGATGATGCTGTAGTCTGATCGTGAAATTGACAAAAAATACCCGAATCTACTCAACCAAAAAAATTAAAATTAAAAAAACCTACATGAATGGGGTAAATTAAACATGACGAACAACCTTTCAACCGAATAAATAAGGCAACCTACAACCCGGACCAGATAATGACGCGGCGTTTAACTGATCAAGAAAGCCAGATTGACTTCCTTCGATTGCACTAAGATGTCTTAAATCAAATCACGGACTCAAAACTTACCCTGGTTCCTTGACTCCGCTAGGTTGAGTTTTTTGTCTGTGAATGAGATGTAGATGAATAAATACAACAAATAATGTTCCATTTAATCTTATTCAATGCAAAAGAAAGTAGTGTCCGATGGCCAGGGGTTAGTGGAAATTGCGATTGGATAGGAATTCTTTTGCCGTTCACTTGCTCGACGGGCAGGACGGGGAGTGGCATTTCCGAGCCCTACTACACCGACTCTGGCATCCAATAAATTTTATGTCGATGTTACGTTTGCTACGTTAAAATGACTCGCTTGGGCTATACAATGCACTCGGAAATAAAACTGTCTTTCTTTGCACCCTGCGTTACGAGTGCAATGCGGAAATATTTCTAAATGATCGTATTAGGACTAAGTGGGTCTGCAATTTATTGCGTAGAGGGTGGGATTGTTGTGTCCGGTATATAAGTGAAACCATTCACATTTACATTCATTCATTCATTCATTCATTCATTCATTCATTCATTCAGAGGATCGGAAGAGGACCGGCCGTAGCAAAGAAAGGGTTAATAACAATCATCTTAATAATCATCACTAGCAGAACTTATACTGTCTCAAGAGAGACATACGTTTACCATTTGAAGTTAAATTGTGTGTACGCCAAAAATATTGTCTATTTTTAAATAAGATAACATCCTCTCTCAAGGGCAATTAATACCGGGGACGAAGTTGAACATAGACCTTTCTGAAATTTTTGCATTGATAGCGGGCCTGCCATAAAAAGGGGAAACTGAAGATGCCACCGTTAATGGCAGTTTTACTTTCCATTGAAAGGACGGAGGTTCAATTAGAGGACTGTATCTCTTAATTTCCTCCTTCAGATTCCTCGTTGATTTACTTCATTGAAAACGACACGTATAGCGTGAGAAATCAGCCGTTTCTCCCCGCTTCTCGTAGCCTGCGTCGGAAAGGGTCGGTAAGCGGTTCCAATGGAGTTTAAATACTGGGCGAAAGTTAGAGCGGGAATTCACGCAGGAACGCTTCTCGCCGCTTGAACGTGTCACTGGCAATCGCCGCGAGAAAAATGTACCTGTTTTCGCACACTACACAACAAGTTAAAGACACGCAGCTTTTACAGGAATAGACGGAATACACCATCATATGGAATAAACATAAACAAGTTATTTGTGATACTGATACCTCGTTTTTTCTTCACCGACTGTCTGCATTGATCCGCCCCTGAAAAGATAAAAGTAACAGAGACTACCCTTAGTGAACGTTAAGTTACTGAAACATCGGACGTACAACAAGGGAGAGTGTGGTTTCCCGCCTTCGTCACCATATTAAACATGTTAGTGAAACACAGTAACCGATTGCTCACTCTTCAGACACTTCTTTTTAACTCCAGACCGACTTGCTTGCCAGTGACAAAAGTGACTGTATCCTGAACTAGGAAGAAAAACCTTCCCAATCAGCATCGAGGACAGTCATTTTGTCCCATTAATTCACTGCAATTTTCATGAATGCGGTTGCAAAAAAGTAAAGCTCTCATGTATTAGAGCGGGTAATATCGTTGGGTAACTGGAGTATACGACGCTACATAAAAGGGGGCCTTAACTGTAACAACTTAAACTAACCTTGTCCGTTCTGTTGGCTTTCGTCGCTTACTGAGGAAAATAACAGACTTGAAGTTAAGCCCTTTTCATATTCCAGGAGACTTTTGTGCTAATCGGTCAATTTGAGGTCTTTATGATTAAAAAGTTAGGTAAATCGTTTATTTTGGCCTGTAAAAATAGCTTAATGGATTCTACTGCTGCGAAGGAGTCAAGCTAAATTTCTAGCTTTGCGATTTAGTTTCAATTATAAAAGCCCCCAAATCCACATACAACTTCTCAACATTAATTTTCTTGAAGGATGAGTTGAGAGAATTTGATAAAATATCAAAGCATTTGGCCTCTAGCAACCTCACCATTGTCTTATTGTCATAAATCGTTGCTTTGGATAAATTCTTTTGATTATTGTTAAGAGAAAATTAATCTGGGCAATCTTTGTAGAGCCTCCTCCCCCTCCAAATATTATAACAGTGGCGCCTAGAGAAGATTCTCGGCGCATCTCGCTGACTTAAGTAATCACTGATCGGCGCAAAGACCAAACATAGACATTGGTTTTCATATACCGTGTGCCACAACATTTGTGTGGGATTTTATTTTTGCGGATTGGCCATTTTTTGTGTTTTGCGGGAACTAATTGTTGCAATTAGGAGAGATTGGTTTTTCTTGCCGGTAATTGACTTTTGCGATTTTCAAAAATCACCCAGAACCCAGCATTGATAATGTTTTTGTTTTTATTGAGTAAATACGAGAGAAATACATATTTTCAAACAATCAACCAGTATTTCGCTGTATACGATCTTGTTTCTGAATGAAAGAGATAAAATAATAGGCCATTTGCACGATGGCGTGATTTTACTACTACGACCAGAATTCTTTTCCTTTTTCCTTTCACATTTAAATTTGGTAATCCCGGCGAGGTCTAAATAACAAAGGCTTTAATTTGCACAAGAAAGCAAAAACCTGAAGGATTTGTGTAGCGAATTTAACTTAGAGAATATTTACTCTGGAGTAAATTTTTGTGAGAAAAATGTTTGCGATAATTTTTATTTGCGGGAACTTATTTTTGCGGATCGCTGGAGAAATCGCAAAAATTGCGAAAATTAGAACCCGCAAAAATTTTGTGCCACACGGTATTTCCAGTGCGTGAGGAGGTTGTTGACGAGCACTTTGTTCGCTTGTTCATGACAAGAAATAAAAAATAGGACTATTCTCTTATCGACATGAAGAAGCTGTTCTCATTCTGTTTTTGGTAACGAAGAAAAATAATATGAACTTACAATTTGTTGTATTTGGCGTTTGCCAATGTGGTACGCATCGTGTTCCTTATTTCCGCCAAAGGAATTTTTTCCTTGAATGTCCTGTCCACCTTGAAAAAACAATTCGTTGATAACAATTATTGTCCTAATATTTTTACGCGTTACTGACCGTAATGCTGCCTATTTATACGGTAATCATTCATGGTTAAGCGTATGGTAAAAACCCTCGACTAAAAAACAACTTGGGTGTAAAGAGGTTCTTACATAACTGGTAGTTAAGGCTATTCCGGTTCTTAAATCATGGTTCACGTTTCCTGAAGAAAATAAACATTTCAGGGGAGTATGTTGTCGGTTTCCAGCTTATTCGGCTAATGTTAAACCTGTATACCATTACAATCGCAATTGAAGTCCTAACGCAGCTATGTGTCCTGTTACAAAAAAGGGGATCGTGAATGTTGACTTTAATATCTTAAGCGACAGTAAAACGGGCAATAAAAAACGAACAATTTTTTTTACAACATTGCTGCAAAACAAGTGGAATAGCGATTTTGCACGTTTTACCGCCCACGTTCTATCGTGTCTTGCAACAAAATTAGCTTTTTTTCGTGGGTGGTAAAAGGCGCAACATTGCTGTTCAACTCGTTTTGCAACAATGTTGCAAAACAAACTTGCACGTTTTTTGTTGCCCGCTTTACCGTACCTTTACCTGCCCAAGTTCACAGAATTTTTTTTAAAAGAGTTTGGAAAATGTTAAGAATCATTTTAAAGTTTGGTCTAAACAGATTATTGTATAGAGCGGGCCTAACTGGCAAATGGTAGCTTGCCGTGTTTTTTACTGTATAAACTGTTAACAAAGAGATTCACTGTAAACGAATACATCATGGTTGTTGTAGTTGCAAAAAAGTGCAATATTCACTGCTTCTTCGACGCCTTATATTTAACAAAAGTTAGGCAATTTCATTGAGGTAAGTAGGTCGCTAAAACAAAACTGTAAAACCACAGCTGTGCCGAGTATGTCCTGAATCACATTTGTTGTTACAAAAACATTAACAAAAAAACTTACTCGATCCACTGCCTTCACAAAGGAGTTGTCGGTAGCATTCTTTACGCCATATATTTTCAGGCTGGCGCGCACTTCTCGCTGAAAAAAAGAAAACAAATTAAAGTCACAAAAACACCATAATTCAAAAGCATGAGGAAGCTCATTTAATATTTATTTTTGTAGCAAATGCTGACAGTTTCAGTTCTTATAAATATCCCCGCTTATTATGGCCCATCAACACAAACAATGATATGAGGACTCTCCTAATTCCTTCAGTAAAACGAGTAAAGTTACTTAATGTGCTATACAAAAGAAATATCGAGATTATATATCTTACCAAAAACATAAGCCGTTCCTTGGTCTTTTTTCCTCGACACTTCCTTAGCTCCACCATGACAAACTGCGTTGGAAAGTTTCAAACCGGCGCGCGAAAATCTCATGGTAAGCGCTACAAGAGCTATCACGTGACGAAACGTAAGGCATATGATTGGCTTTTCGTTTTTGGTCTGTCAAGCTGTCCATCCATCACAAATGTAACACTTTTACGGAGATGTAAAGTTTTTTAAAAACAAACTCTTTGCGTGATAATGCGAGCTGGGTTTTTTTAGCGTTTCTTCGGTTTCATATGTACGGAAAGTAGGACAAATCAATCACGAATAATTTTGGTAAGTCCATTTAAGATAAAAGGCCCATAAAAACTGTTTCTAGGGATCGTTTGTACTTATTTCTATATTGCAAACTCTATTTTTTTCTTTGTGTTTTTGAAGAAATATAAAGAATTCATTGAGGCAATTTGTAAGAAAATGTCCTTTAGTTATAGAGTTTTACATACATTTCTTGAACACGTTTCTTGTACAAGCTTTGTACATGTTATCCATTCTGTTTTTCTCAGGGGGAGAAACGGCCCAATGTTATTCAACTAGTATCAAAATTGCCAAAAAAAAACTTTTAATAGTTCATCAAAGGGGTTTAACGGGGTTTGAGACAACTTTCTCGTCTATCATTTTTCGACACTGAGCCACGCTTGTTGAGCCCTCAAGAAATGTCATGGACATATTTAATTCCATTCGGATGATACTACTTTATATTCAATTGCTGGAGATTCAACTGTGTTTTGCAGAGTCAGAGCTAAATCGACAAGCACACACAAAAACCACCTCCCGCGCGGTAAATTCCTCGAGAGCGGAAATTTCCACGCGCACTCGGAGTAATGTTAGAGATCCTGAATCTTCAATTTCCTCACTTGAAATTGGGTTTTTATTTACATAACAATCAGATGGGTGACGAAGGATTGACAACAGCAAAGAGTGCAATACAATAGAAGGAGTTCGGAAGCACGCTTTCCCGGAAAAGAGGACTTTTTAAAGTGTAATAGCGACTGCAACCCTTGTGAAAAGTGTGAAGAGGCAAGTTTTCTCCCAAGGTATCAGAGCCGTTGGATTATTATTTTTTTTTTGTATATAGCGTAATCCCTAAGCATCGTGATGACAACTTAGAACAACGAAAATATAAGGATTTCTATGGGAAATAAATACCTTATTCTTTCCAGAGAATCTAATTTTCGAGATTGCAAAACAATTTTCCAAAAAAGCTACTAAATTTCGCGATTTTATCTTTGTTTTTATTTTTGCAAATCCTGAGCAGAGGGCACTTGCCACAAATCAATAAAACATAGTACTACATATTTCAAAGCAAGATTGTAAACTTACAACTGCGCTACATATAAAACCTTATGAACAAGACAAAACATAACTGCTTGCTGTGCGGCCTCACAAGATTCGCCTGAATAATAGAGGTCAATTGGACGTCTACTGCAATGAAATAGGATTCTCGCACCCTCGAAACGAAACCAGTTTTCCCTTTTTTAGCAGTCAAACATTACAAAGTTTCTCTCTCTTTTTTTTACCCCCCCTCCCCCATAGTCGAAACAAGTTCCTTTCCATAGCTCATAACTACGCTTTGGATCAAATTTCAAAGCCGAAGCCTTTGCTCTGAAGAAGTCTTTTAGATCAATGGGAATCTGTGTGAATGTTGAATGAATGTTATGCTTAAAGCTAACAACAGCTCTGTTGATCAGTAAACAGACTAAACAGATGGAAGAGGTGGTGGTAGCCTGTCATTGTAGTACCTGCAGAGGGGAGGTATTCCAGACAATTCGAACGTGTCAACGCCATGTAACTCTTTATGGTATGTTAAAGGAGGAAAGCACGGATAGCCAGACCAGTTTTTCAGAGTCGGAGGTAAATTTATAAAGTTTCAAGGTTCCGAGGAGGGGGTACTCCACAAGTCCCATTCCGAATTTACGAGCCTTGTTTGCAAACTCAAGCCGCCGAAAAAAAATTGGTCCAGTTTTCTTACCCCATAACATTCCGGAGTCAAACATTTTCAACCCCCCAAAATCTTTCGACCATCCCCGACACTTGAATTCCGGAGAACCTTCTGCTCACACATGAACGGTGATTTCGGCCCGCGTTGGATACATAAGGTGTTCATATACCGGAGAGCTTTTCATGACACGAAGCTCGGTTAGCTGTTCGTTTCTTCTTGGCGGGTCGAAATCATGAACTAACATGAACACATTTCTGTCTTGTAGCAAGAGGAAGGTGAGGTCTGCGATTGCTTGGTATGTAAAGGAGACGTGATCGTATCACACAGGACTCGCCAACGACACGGTAAATACCACGAGACTAGAAGTCCGGCTTCTGATGGAAAACAACCCGACACGTCGGACAGTGAATCTATGGTGAGCGCCCTTAGAATTTTTGGCCTTTTATGGTGCATTTGCTTTTGTCTACACCTCTCTTCTCTGTGAGTTTTTCACTAATTATTTCAAGCAATAACCAAAAAAACCATACATTAAACCCGCACTATTGCATTCAGTTGATTGCGCTCTAGCCACCTCAGTGAACAACGAAGCCTTAACAGATTTCTTAATAATAAGAAAAGAAAACAAGGAAAACAGTTACTTAGGGCAGAAGCATATGCCTCTGCTTAGGGTCAGAATTAGTTTTATTTCCCATTTTGCAAGAGTTTGAGGTGGTGTTAGGTAGTCAGACCCGGGTGGGGGGGGGGGGGGGGGGGTTACTCCCATACATTACCTATATGGGTATGTGCCGCCCAACGGGGTCGTGATTTTGACGCTCCTGATTTAGAACGAGGTATCCATTTCAGAGGCGTTTTCTAGAACGGGGTATAAAAATTTGTGGATCACGGCTTTATCTTCTGCTTAAAATTGCTGCTGATTATGAAGAAGCATTTATTTGATGTATAAGTCAAACAAATAAAGAAATATCTTTAAAAAAAAAACAGGACTATTTCAATTTACAAACTTTCTAGAACGGAGTATAAAAAATTGGCCCATTTCTAGAACGGGGTTTCAGTTATAGGGCGAATTCTAGAACGGGGTATCAATTTTAGGGAAATTTTTTTTTACAACCGGTTGCCAATTTGGAGTCCCGGGCGGCACATACCCACCTAAAAAATACCCAAGTGCCCCCCCTCCCCCCCCCCTCGGGGGTAGTCAGGTATCATATGACCCCTTTTTTCTAAAATCCCAAAAACGGAAGTGATGAAGGGAAGGTTCATAATGATTACTATCTTTCAGGATTGGGATTTTTCAAGTAATGCAAACGAGGGTTCACTTGCATGCGATGAAGTGGAAAGTAATGACGAAAGTTCGGAACACGAAGAAGAAAGCGAAAGTGACACTGAAACTTATCAAACAAGTGAACCAATATGTGAAAACTCACCAGTCACCCAAATGGATGTGGCCGTTGCACTTTTACGATGGTTCTCCAAATATCCTGGAGTATCTAAAGCAGCTGTGGGCGATTTACTGTCTTTGCTACAAAGCCTGATGTCCTTAGCAGTTGGAAAAAGAATAAAATTTCCTAATACTTTCAAGAAAGCTCGTGCCTTGCTGAATAATTACATTACCGAAACTAAACAGTATCAAATTTGTAGCAATGAATGCATCCTGTATGCGGGTGAAAACAACTACGCCACAGAATGCCCAACATGCGGGGAAGAAAGATACGCCGGGGACTCTCCCGCGCGGACGTTCTCCGTTATTCCTCTAATACCCAGGTTAGCAATAGCACTGTAATAATAACACTTTATTCACACCCTTCGCACCGTATATTTCCCGATACGTCTTTCTTTTGTTGTTTTGGTTTCTCTTGGGCGGTGTATGGAAAAGGAAACGGGTAAATATTCCAGCCCAACTGGAACATAAAAGAACACGTATATTGCCACCCCTCACCGGGGAGCAAGTGCTGCAGCCGAACGCTGAGATACGGTTGGAGGAACCCAGGAAAGAGTTCTCTTTTCTTTTTCTAAAATCTGGAGATGGGGTTAATGTCAGGTTAAGCGCAGTCCGCTTCGTTTTCGACGGTTCTTGATATTTCGGTGGCAGACGACTATTTTCGTGTCTGGTCGCACTCATAACCGCAGCAGGTCTTCAGTCGGCCGCTCTTTGGTCAACCAAGTGAATGATGATGATGATTCAGTTATATTTACTGGTTAGAAAAAATGTTTGATCTCTAAAGGCCAAGTAAACTAATGTTATCTTTCTGACTCCTAGGTTGAAAAAAGTGTTCCAGTCACCAAATCTAGCAAGGCTTTTAAAGTACCATGCGGTGAGGCAACAAGAGAGAGAGGAGGACGATTTAGTATTCGACGTGCAGGATACGCAATTTTGGAGGCGTATGTATTCTGAGAATGGACCGCTCGACGGGGACCCGCGCAATCTTCTTCTCTCTTTCAGCGCAGATCCGGTCCATCCGTTTAAAACCACCAATTCCGAATACAGTATGTGCCCCATCAGTTTGCAAATACTGAATTTTCCTAAGCCTTTAAGAAGTGCCGATGACAGAATGCTGTTGTGGTCCGTACTCCCTGGGCCGAAAAAACCGAAATCTCTCTCAACGTACCTTGGTCCACTGGTAGATGAACTCCTGCAGTTGGAAGAGGGCGTGGAATGTTACGATTCTGACACCAGGGATCATTTTAAGCTGAAAGCGAGGTGCGTGTTGGACATTCTAGACTACGAAGGACAACAGATGTTCCTGAACACCCTTGGTCAAAATGCATTCCAAGGGTGCAACAAGTGCCGACAACCCGGAACATACCTCCCCATTTTAGAAAAAATGGTCTACACAGATTCGAGGAGATTTCTAGTCATCAATCACCCCCTACGCTCGGAGAGTGGGCCCATTTTTCCCCATGTAGGGGAGGAAACCCGTCCGCCACCAGAAGGAAGACGGCAGTGCCAGCAACACCAGTATGGTGTTGCTTATGAAAGAGCAAAGGAGAATGGCGCCAGCAACACCGCGTTACGAGCCATGGCGAAATCGACTGGTGTGAAAGGTTTGCCGGCCTTTGACAGGCTACCATACTTCGACGCAATCACCGATGTAGTGACAGAGCCGATGCACATGATTGCACGGATAGGGCTCCTTGTAGTGAAGCTGTTGATGGGCGTCGCCCCCATGGATAGTTGGAAGGTTCGAGTTCAAGAAGAGGAGTTCGGTCGGTTCGGAGAGGCGTGCCAGTTGCCTGAAGACGACAACAACAGTTTACCTGAAGCGCCTTGGTCGCTCAGCAAAGAAGATGCTTGTACTGCCGATAAAAGGAGGGGTCAAGTACTGGCACCTGTGGGTATCGGGTTTCGAAACGTGAAAATGTTCACTTCACAGACCAACTTGATCTCCCATGATTGGTTCCAGGTAAATACTTGCCATGCCTCCCACGCAGACGTTTTTAGAAGAGCTCGTATTTCGCCCTTCCCCACAAACGCCGTTTGTGCGGAGGGATGAAAGACAAGCTCCCATAAAAAAGCCATGTGGGAGGTCATAATTGCCAAACGAAAATTTGTTCATTATTTACAGCAGGAGCCATGTAACTGAATGCATAAGATGTTGTGAAATGAAATGATAAATACAAAACTTATACAACATTTCAAAGGACACTGGCCACTAACGGAAATCTATTCTTGCAAGCCAGAGTAAATAATGCAAGAATCATTTAGAAACAACATGACCGAACGATCGAACCGATAAGAAGAAAGTAAAACTAATTTCCAAACTAATTGGAAATTGAGACAACAGTGTCCAAATTAATAATCGAAATGACACCCACAGTGGTAAACTCCTTGCAATATAGCTGCAATTGTGAAAACGAAATTTTTCCGCGTATTTTTAGTAATTCCAGGAGATAATACAAAGAATAGTGCAATGATTGAAGCTAAAACAAGGTTTTATTTCATAGTTGATCCGATCACAACACATTTAAACTTTTTTTTATTAAGAACTTTTTTTTTATTAAGAATATTCTCTAAGGGTAATAATCTGCACATCAGTGCGGCAATGTGCCCTTATGCTAATTATTCCCTTCTTTTCTTTATTGTCATTTTCCCCCTAAACTTAGGCCTTCAGCAGTGGTATCCTTAAATACTGTTTGAGAGGGATGTTAGGGGACGTCCAGCGCCACGCTCTCTTTGCCTTTATAGATGTTGTGTCGAGCCTGCAAAGACCAGCACCGGCAGCATGCAGAAAGAATGATGTTGAAAATATGCAAGAGGCACTGAGCCGGATGGAAATGGCATTCCCAGTTTCAATTCAAGTTATCATCCTGCATTTATTTCAACATTTGCCGACATTCATTGAGCGGTTTGGAGACGTGCACTCCATCTCCATGTTTCCCAGCGAACGATATCAGCACTTTTTGGTGTCGAGAGTTAAGAACAAAAGATACCCAGAAGCCTGTGTAATGGAAACATACAAGGTGCGTTTTTAGCAGTGGAAAATGGTGAATTTCGTTAGGCTAACCGAACACAAGTCAGTCTTAGTAAAAGAGCGTTTTTTCCCTCTCATTTTTACTGAGTTAGTACGCGCTCGATTGTTTAAGCGAGCAGGTGGTATTTTACTGGTGCGCACTAAATTCTTTGTTGTTTTCTTTCCCACGTGCGGGCATAATGCCCAGAAATATAAGATGTATGGCATCTTAGTTATCAACGTCGTTTCTTTGTCCTCGCTATATGTTCCCGATCCTCGCTTTTCTCCGTGGATCATTGCCCAACCACACGATTTAATTTTGCCTTGAATCAGCGAGGAGAACAAGACAAAACAAACAGGCTCAGCTACTTATACAACCGATTCCCCGAAACAGGTTCGTACAAAAAATCAGGTATCAACATACTTTCTGAGAACAAAACGAGAAAGATAACAACAGAATCGTTTTATTCGAAAAATGCGTAAAGTTATGCGGCAATTATACATCTGAATGAATTGTGTTAATGAGGGCATTAACCTGTTAGTGTGTATTAGATGCTTTAGACCTACGTCATTACAATGCAAGAGATACTTCTTTTTGTTCACACAGGTTTTGGAAGCCACTGAAACGGTCTTGAATGGTGAAAACGTACATGAAGAGTTCCGCGAGATTTTTCAGGAGGATTCTTCTTCTATCGCGAGCACGCGAAGTTTTGCCAAATATGTAACAACCAGAAGTGACGTCGCGTGCACATTTGCTGGAAAAACAAAGGTGAATCTTAATCGAAGACGCCATCAGCAGCTCATCACACATTACCAGCAATCCATTCCGGAATACGATGAGCTGCTGAAGCTGTACAAAAATTACCAGGAATCCGAGAGGCGGCGAGGCAGAATCCCGTCTTCAATGGCCAACTGGGTACCACCTACAGCCCTAACGGCCAGGTATGGAGAAGATGTAATATCCGACCTGCTGGCAGGACCCTCAACGCTTGGAGAAAAAAGAACCAAAGCCACTCTCGTGGACAAAGAAAGAGGAATGTTGATCCATCTTAGATGTTCAGATGAAGAGGACATCTATTTTAGACGGCGCACCCGGTCAAGCTTCATCAAGGCGGAGTTTGTGGAGACAGAGCCGACAACAGAGCGACATTACATTGGTGAGACTCCTGATGGTGAAGAAAAGTTCATATACTTTGGCAGGATAGAGCACTTCTTCGTCCAAGAATTCGCTGGTGAGACACGCGAGCTAGCGTACGTGAATTGGTTTAAGCCACCATTCTTCGAGGAAGACGTAAACATGTGGAGAATTGACACCTCTCTAGGCTTTTACAACTGGCTGCCATACGTGTTTGTCAAAGACATTGAGTCTCAAGTGATTGTAGCCAAGGATGGGAACAGCATATGGATTCTCTCGCCAGTGTAATGTCCAATCCTTATCTCAACATCATCTGGAACCTTTCTCTGAATACCTGAGATGGATCAACATAGCCAGCTCCCGTTCATCTCCTTGCCCGCTAATCATGGCAGTAGTACAGCCTTTTCTCTTTGCTCCTCGCCGCCAGGGACGTTGTGAGGTATATTTTATGGGTGGTGTTGCTGCTGGAGGACTGTGACGTCGCAAACGATGGTCTCCATCTTGGATTTAACCACGCATTAGAAATCAGGTTAAACTCGCGATATAATTTTACCCTTGTACTAACACGGGGGGGTCGGGCGTACATGGTGGTTGCCACCCCCCGCCCCGCCCCCCATGAAGTTCCATGTGAGTGTGAGTTCTCCATGTTTATTTTACACTTGCAATAAACTCTTGTACTCAATCTTGTCTGTCTCTTGTTTGTTTTTTTGTGAACTGTATGTAAATAATTCTGGATCACACAGAAGAACACACTGGCAAATTTTTCATTTCATGATTATATGCATGTAGTGAATTCAGTGAATTATATGGATTACGGATACTGACTCAGACTACTGCGTAGGAAAGGAATAAGAACACCTTGGAATACCTTTGTTAAGTCTGGTTCCTTTTTAGCCGTTGACTGACAGAGACATTGTTGTTTTTCTGTTGTTATGTTTTGTTATGCAGCACAAGAGCAACATAAACAAACTTCGACAACCAATGAGAGCATCTCAAATACTATCGAACTTAGTCTCCCCCGTTCCCTCCTCTGGATCAGCCCATGGAGGACATACAAATGAAAAATTCGTCTTAGATGAGGTTCTGTTTGGAAGCTCGTGCACATTCATTTCCATGCTGCATTATGCATCCTTGAGCTGCGTTGGGGTAAGGGCAATTTTTGGGTCCGTCAATTTATCATTTCTGTAATTTTCTTCTCACATTTAATAAGCTTAAAAGCTTACTGAATTAACTGTGTCGTGTTCACCGGTGTTGAAAACCTTAAGCAAACTAGACACATCTTAAAATAAGCTAACATTTGTATATGTGAGCGATCAATTTAACTCTAAACCAGCTCAAAATGCAGCAAGCAAACTCGTTCATGTAAAATAGAACAGAGCAAACTTTACTCAAAATTTATGTCTCATCATTTGAAAACAGAAAAGCGCGATCTAAATGAGCTTGTCTTTGACGGTAGGAGAATCATCGTAGTTCACTTGCCGTTCGGTTATAATCGCATTCTGTTTGCGACAATATTACGATATCCAGGTAATATTTAACCATGAATTTTTAAATCGTATGTCGAACAAAAGAAAATTGCGATTTATTTACGCACGAACCCTTTGTCGTAACCCAACGGCACTATAATCGCATTCTGTTCACGACAATATTACGATACTATTCATTCTCGAATTTAAATCGTATACTAAACAAGAGAAAATTACGATTCTTTTAGGCAAGGACGCTGGTCGCAATGTGACGGCAATTAGATCGCATTCTGTTTACGACAATAATACGATACTATTAATCCTCGAATGTAAATCGTAAATAAAAAAAGAGCACTTTACGTTTCTTTTACGCAAAGACGTGCGTCGTTATTTAACGGTAATCAGATCGTACTTCGAAATACGATTTTAATACGATCATCTACAAGTTAGTTACGATGAAAATACGATGAAAACGCGATCTAGAGGTCAGTAGTGTACATTAGCGTGCTAGTCAGGCCAGCATTGTTATATGCTCCAAAATCTCGAAAATAAATTAACTTATGATGAGATACATCTATATTTGCAGTGTTATATTGCTAACTTTTGTCATAAAAATATGCTAAACTTCCGCCTGAACAAATTCCATCAGCGAGCGACTGCCTTGTGCACAAATTTCACAGGCACAATGCGCTTGAAAGTGTAAAAGGAACACAATCATTAATCTATACCTAACAATTCTTACCTTTATAGAGCCAAGACTGCTGATCTGATGAGGAAAACTTCTGAATTTTCTCTTGTTCCTGTTGTTTTTCTGAAATAAACTCTTCTTCGGTCTTTTGAATTTGCATCTCATGCTTTGCACTGATTAGTTAACCGGTCTGTAGTTCATGTATGACCCTATGCAATGTCCTGGCCACGGTCTATACTTCTTGTATGACCCTATGAAATGTCCTGAGACACGCAGGGTCTGTAGTTCATGTATGACCCCATGAAATGTCCTCAGACACCAGTGCCATGTCGTGCCTCTACGTACACATAGACTGTTCACAGTCCCCTATTTTTTCGTGAGATCGTTTAGATACACCGCTTCTTACCGTCACGGCTATCTTGATTTTCAAATGTACCGAGGGGTCGGGCGTCGGAGATTATGGCAAAACCGCCCCCGCCCCCCAGGTAGTTTTGACACTAATCCAAGATGGGTAGCCCGTAATGGGAAGCTCTCGATCTCGATGATCTTACGGAAAAATAGAGGACTGTGAACAGTCTACTCTAAGCACAGCTGCGGTGTGACCCCATGTGGTAATAAGTGTAGCAAGTGTAGTAGCTGTAGTAGGTGTTATGGCTGTAGTAGGTGTAGTAGTAGTAACCGGGATCGAGCTAATCCAAAATGGCGATAGCTGTGGTATGTGTAGTAAGTGTAGTAAGTGTAGTAGCTGCAGTAAGTGTAGTAAGTGTAGTAGCTGTATGTGTAGTAGCTGTAGTAGGTGTAGTAAGTGTAGTAGGTGTAGTTAAGTAGCTGTAATAAGTGTAGTAAGTGCAGTAGCTGTAGTATGTGTAGTAATTGTAGTAAGGGTAGTATGTGTAGTAGCTGTACTAGGTGTAGTAGCTGTAGTATGTGTATAGTAATTGTAGTAAGGGTAGTATGTGTAGTAGCTGTAGTAGCTGTAGTAGGTGTAGTATGTGTAGGAAGTGTAGTAAGTGTAGTATGTGTAGTAGCTGTAGTAAGTGTAGTATGTGTAATAAGTGTAGTGTGTGTATTACTGGTGTAGTAGCTGTAGTTGCTAGCCGTAGTAGCTGTAGTAAGTATACCTGCCAACTCTCACGCCTTAGGCGTGTGTCTCACGCCTGCGGGTTGAAAAATTCGATCTCACGCCCGCTCACGCCTGCCGGCCAATTTCTCACGCCTGATTGAAAAATGTGAGTTGTTGCCGTCTTGCTTGACACAATTTCCAAAAATATGTTAACTCAGACCCATGTAAGGAAAGAAAACCACGTGTAAAATGAATAAATGACAATACCTTCCTCGCGATCTCTGACTTTGTGGATAAGCGTTTTCTCGATAACTTCGCCTTCGGCAGACTTCGGACGTCTTCGGAAGACTTCGGACTTCTTCGGAAAACTTCGGACTTCTTCGGGAATCTTCGGAAATGATCTTGTCGTCTTCAAAAATCCCACCACTCCCAGGATAAAAATCTCACGCTTATATCTCAGAAAAAGTTGGCAGGTATAAGTAAGTGTAGTAGCTGTAGCAAGTGTAGTAGCTGTAGTAGGTGTAGTAAGTGTAGTAGTTTTAGTAGGTGTAGTAGAGTGTAGTAGTTGTAATAGTAATAGTAATAAATTGCTTTATTTGCATGACCGCATCATTTTACAGTATTGCAAAAGCATGTATATGACAATCAAAATATAAAACAAAACAGCACTAATAATAATCTAGGAAAATTCAGTTACATTACTAACAATGAATCACGTATTTTCATGCAGGAGGAAACAAACTTCATAACTAACTTATTTACATGATGTTCCTTCGAATTCATTATCAGTTTCATGCTTTCTGGAGATGATTTCTTGTCAAAGTCAGGTATTATTCGATTGATTTGATTAATAAATGCCTGTCTCTGTACTGAGTATTTGTTACATTGAAAGAGGAAATGAATCTCATCTTCTACCTGATTTGAGTTACATAAAGGACATAATCTATTTTCTCTTGGCAAATCACGGATCGATTTGGTATCGACCATGTTCAATCATAAGTTTGTGATTACTTATTTTAAATTTAACAAAATTCTGTCGTTCGTCATAATGTCTTAGCTGGTAGAGATAATCAGATTTGGAATATTCATCTTTAAAAGTTTTATAAAATTCTAGTTTCTTTGAATTTTCGAGGCTGTGCCGCCAAAAAGATAGATATTTCTCTCTCATTTCTGTGGTATATCGTCTAATTTTATCATTATCTAGAGATTCAGCATCTAAACTGGTTAGATTGTATTGTTCAAGCATGTTTATGAAATTGGAAAAATATCCGGAATTATTCATACAATGTAGATTCTTTGACATAAGGAAAGACTGTTTGACTATAGAGTCATTATCTTTGTTGTTGAGGTAAACAAAATATTTCATAATTTTCTGATTTATCGGGATAAGCAGCGGCAGTCTATCAAGTTCAGCTCTGCAGGCTATGTTAGAGGCTTTATTGTTAACCTCTAAGTAACGTTTACAGAATTTGAGGTGGATTTTTTCTATTGGGGAGCTATCCCATTTTTTAAAATCTTGCTTGGTGTACATTCCCCATACCTCGCTGTTGTAACTCAAGATTGAGAATACCATGGTGTCAAAAATTTGGGATGCAGTATTAGGATTAAGTTTGTTAAGAATTGTCCACTTCCGAATACTAGAAAACGCGTGACGGGCCTTTTCTTTTAAGTGTTCGAGTGCAAGTGTAAAGTTTCCCGTTGGAGTTAAACGTGTACCTAAATAAGTGTATTCTTGGACAATTTCAATTGACTCACTGCCTATGTTGAATTTGATGTCAATAGATTTTTTTGGGCATTTCTGGAATATCATAATTTTTGTTTTCTTCGGATTAATTTTTAGCTTCCATTTGTCACAATACAAAGAAAGCGCATTTAAACAGTTCTGTAATCCAGTTTTCGATCTTGATAGAATAACTAAATCATCTGCGTACAAAAGTGGATTTATTTTTTTCCCATTTGGGAGAACAAATGGGTCAAATAAGGTGTTTTCGAATAAATGTGGTAGATTGTTTAAATAGAGGTTAAATAAGAGAGGGCTTAAAATATAGCCTTGACGTACACCACTGGAATATGAAAAAGGCTGTGTTTTGTTTTCACCTATTTTGATGGAACATGTCGAGTTGCAATAAAGGCTTTTCATGAGGTCGTACAAGTTTCCTCCTATATTCGTTTTTAGCAGCTTATAAAACAATCCTTCGTGCCAAACAGAGTCAAACGCTTTGCGGAAATCTACGAAACAAGCGTAGACTTTTTCCTTGTGATAATGCACATATTTATCTATTAGGGTCCTTAGAGTGAAAACATGGTCTGCAGTGCGGTTTTCAGGCAAAAAGCCAATTTGGGAATTATGTAATATCTTATTTTCCTCAAAATACAAGTGAAGTCTTCGATTTAAAATAGAACAGAACAGTTTTCCAAGGCAAATAGAAACACATATGCCTCTGTAATTTGTTGGATCACTCTTGTCACCAGATTTGTAAATTGGGGTTATTGTAGTAGGTGTAGTAGCTGTAGTAGGTGTAGTAAGTGTAGTAGGTGTTGTAGCTGTAGTATCTGTAGTAGGTGTTGTAAGTGTAGTAGCTGTAGTAGCTGTATAGTAGCTGTAGTAGCTGTAGTAGGTGTAGTGAGTGTAGTAGTTGTAGTAGGTGTAGTAGGTGTAGTAGCTGTAGTAGGTGTAGTAGCTGTAGTATCTGTAGTAGGTGTATAGTAAGTGTAGTAAGTGTAGTAGCTAGGTGTAGTAGATGTAGTAGCTGTAGTAAGTGTAGTAAGTGTCAGTGGTGGATCTGGACCTTCAGATAAGGGGGGGCCCGGCCATCCAGACCCTGAGATAAGCGGGGGGGGCAGTCTACAAAAAACTTTTTTCGGCCTTTGAGCCTCATTTTGGTCAGAAAATAAGGGGGGCAGGGCCCCCGGGCCCCTCCCCTGGATCCGCCACTAAGTGTAGTAGCTGTAGTAAGTGTAGTATGTGTAGTACTACAGCTCTTACAACTAATACACTTACTACAGCTACTACACTTACTACACTAACTACAGCTACTACACTAACTACACCTACTACACTTACTACACTTACTACACTTACTACACTTACTACACTTGCTACAGACACTACACTTACTACACATACTACAGCTACTACACTTACCACAGCTACTACTACGTGGGGTCCAGTGCTGTAGGCACGACATGGCACTGGTGTCTCAGGACATTTCATGGGGTCATACATAAACAACCATGGGGGTGGGGGAAAAACACGGGTAGCCTTTCCAGGTTCGATTGGTAAGCTCTCCTCTGAAGTTCGATATTTTGGATACGTTTCTGGGAAACTGCCCACTTACCCCTTCCCTAACATTAACACTTATTTCTAAGCGAGAAATATGCTTTCATTCAAACCTTTATCCGCCGAGCTACAGAGCATAGAATTTTTTCGTTTAGTGGTCACGTGATCAGCGTACATCCTTGATGGCGGGGTTGACGGGGAGTACTTTAGGAATTTTTGTGCGGGGATGTGCCGCTGGGACCCTGGAACCCTTAGCCTATACCAGAGCTAGTTCAGCTGAATTTTGCTAACCTATACAAGACTAAACTCCCCAAAACCTTCCCTACCCTTCAATATCTTTCATAGGCCTGATTTACGTAAATTTCAGCTTGGTGATTTGAGTTTCTTATATCTTTGAGTGGTAATTTCCGGTTTCCCTAGATTTGTCTTGACTAAAATCTCAGTTCAACCAGCAATTTATATACCCTACCTCACAGTAAACTGCTTGAAAACCATACCCTTCACCGCGGCACATACCTATATAGCCGATATTTGGCAGTATTCCCCCCTCCGGGGGCTCGAATGTCCTTGAAAATAACCTTTGGTTCCTCGCAAAGATTTCTTCAAAAGAATCTTTACATAAAAAATATCTTGATTCTATTACCTCTTGCTGCAGTAACATGTCTATTTCAGTTGGGCTTCATCCCAGACGAGGTTTACCCACAGGGCGCCCACACAATATGTTTATATAACCGATGTAAATTCAAGGTAAACATGGTAAATGTAATGTATTTACCATTTGCTTCATCTAGCGTTATATCCACCGCTAAATATGTGCATGTATCAAAGCTAAATAAACGCCTTTTTTTACCTTACCTTCGGGAAACTGTCGCCCTTTTGCCTCAGAAGTGGTATTTTAAACAGATAACTCAAAATCCTTCAAAATCGCTTAAAATACAACTTCTTAAGCAAAAGCGATTTACCATGCACATATTTAGCGACGCTGTTGACGAATTACACTCCAATCGGTTTCAAAAACAGGTCGTGAACGGATTGTGTGGGTACCCTGTGGTTTACCGTAGTATTATAGTATATATCGACCTTCCAGTGTCAGGAAGGCTAAGTCGGGAAGAGTGTCAAACACATAAATTTAGCATTGATCATCTGAGATGGGAGGGTGGATTGGCCACCGAAAACAGATTCAACGTTTTTCCAGGAGCAATGGTTGAAAACCAATCGTTGCCATACTTTTTAAATTCAAACATTTAGTTGTAAAGATCCTTTGAGAGACTAGCCTAAATTTCATCCCATTACTTCGAGTCGTTATTACTCCCTCAGTTGTTGAGAGGAGAAAACGACTCGAAGCAATCGGATGAATTTCAGGCTATTGAGAGACGAACCAGTTGACAGACTACATGTAACTAACTAACTCACTAGAAAAGGTTACCTAAAAAAAAAGACCCTTCTTAGCGCCATCTTTAAAACACAAACAAGACCGAAATCAAAAGAAAAACTAACGGGCTTAAGAAGAAAGTAGTCGTAACAGACTGACGAACTAAGTTATTGTCTGAGCTGAGGGGTTGGTTTTAAAAGACATAGGGGGGACACAAAAATCTAAGTATATAAAGTCCCTTTACGATCGAAAAAAAGATTGTAAAAAAACTGATCCTCCAAACGCTAGCTGGACTTGGTTTAACTCTGTGGTTAAAATATAATTTTGATGTAACTTACTGACCGACGGATTGACTAGCGGACTCACTCACTGAAAAAACAAAGCCAACTTATATAACACAAAGGTTGGTTTCTGTTATTTTACACTAATCACTTGACAAGTTGACAGAGAAAAGTTGTGGCAACCACTTTCAAGAGTATTAAATTAATAAAGTAAAACGCAGTTACTGTTATGTCAGAACTGTGTAGAAGCCAAATAAGCATCTGTTTTTGAGTTGGTAACTACTTTCTTTAGAATAAGTATGTACAAAAACCACACTAAGCCTAATTCAAATTAAGTCGCAAACCTAAGAAAGTGGAAGAAGAATAAAGTGTCAGCGTGTTACCATGCATGTTTCCAACTCGCGCAAGACATATCAAAATGCGTTTGGAATACCAAGACAGTAAACTAAGCTTCATAATTAACCAATACAGTACTGAGTACCTTTTACTAGCAATAACGGAACAAACTAAACTAAGGCCAAGGTCACACTATGCCGGATAGTAGCTTTTGCGCCGGCACGAAAACCATCTCGGATAGGGCTTCTGTTCACACATAAGAACGGTGATTTTGGCGCGATTTCTGTACCGGAGAGAATCTGCACCGCGTCGATCTCTAAAGCGGAGATTCACATATTGGAGAGGTGTTCACACGATACTGGATAGCTGATCTCTAAAGCGGAGATTCACATATTGGAGAGGTGTTCACACTATACTGGATAGCTAATCTCTAAAGCGGAGATTCACATATTGGAGAGGTGTTCACACTATACTGGATAGCTGATCTCTAAAGCGGAGATTTACATATTGGAGAGGTGTTCACACTATACCGGATAGCTGATCTCTAAAGCGAAGATTCACATATCAGATAGGTGTTCACACTATACCGGATCTTTTCGTACCGACATGAAAAGCTGTCCGGTATAGTGTTAACAAAAACTAAGCTAAAGTAATCATTCTGCACGCGGTGCATTTAACGGTTTGGTACATTTCTTTGCTGTCACTTCGCCAGTACAACGTGCATGTGAAACCTCATGATGCAAAATTTTGTAGAGAACGTACAAAAACCGGCGACGACAAAGTTTTCGCCCTCTTTCTTTCAATTCATTGTCCGAAAAACTTCATCAGTTCCGAGGCGATACAATTATATTTGACAAGGTCAAAGGGTTGAAATAATGTCCATGAAGCTTGAAGGAACCTAAATTCACTTTTTAAGTTTAGTTTTTCATTGCCGTCGCCGACGTGTTGCAAACGTTATCTAATTAGTTAAGTGTTCACATTAGTTAATTAAAATAGGTAGACTAACTTAGCTAAATTACCTTACGTATACAGTAATGAACTTTGCGATAAATTGACTACCTAACTGGAAAAGAAAAAACTGGCGTTCAACCTTAGAGGTTAAACAGCTGGACTAAATTCTGATAAAAGTCATTAAAAACCACAGACACGCTAACAACGAGTCCGGAGCAATTTAACCCTCATGAATAGATGCCATTAAAACAGCTATCTGAAGTATCAGTTTTACAGATAAGAGCGTGTAAGCGTCTCAGATCCAAAAATGTCAGTTTCTTCAAACTGGAAGAAGGCTAACATAATGAAGCTCATGCACGTGACCCAGCACAAGCCGGTTGTTACCAGTATCATCATACTCTGGGCAAATTATGACGTCATTGTGATGCGGCAGACTGCTGATTACGTGAATACATGTTTCAAAGCGAGTCGCCGCACCATGGAGAATCACGTGATCACCCCATGTACCATCTGTCATCATGCTTGTTAGGTAAGCATCCCAAGATGAATATCCATCAACAAATTGGAAAAGCTCTGTCCCATCTGGCTGCAAGACAAAAAAAATAACGTTTAAATACTAAAAACAGCGCAAAAGTGCTGATTTGCCCATAATGAAAATGTTTAGATCAAAAAATAGTTTGTGTATTTTGTCTATATCTTCTTTGGAGTAAGAAAATCGAATTGGTGAGAACAGGCCTCACGTTATCGCATAAACACTTGGACACCAGGATTATAGTGACGTAACTCCTTCAAGTTGCGCGCGAAAGTGTACGACGGTTACCAGTTAACATTTGAAGAAATTGCGCGTGATGTACAATGGCGTAAGCTCTCGAGTAAAGAAAACATAGTTCGGTCATCCTACTGGTGGTTTTTATTCAAGCTGCGGTGAGTTAGACATATTTGAAACTTTATTTCTAATTCGTTTCGGAAAGAAAACTGTTGGTACCGTTCCAAGGCGTTGCCTGAAATTGTTATAATCTCTTATATGCACAGACATTATCGTATCGAAAGCTCTTTGAAATATAGTCAGGAAACAGTGCAGCGGATTTTCAAGTTTGAAACAGCCAGGAAAGTTGGACGTTCAGGACTTGTGCGGTAAAAAATATCTATTTACTAAACATGGATTGATGGTAGTCGACTCAGGCACGTGGGGCCAGCTGTGGTACCACAGTTTGAAACGTGCGGAAAGAGAGTCAAAAAACAAGGTTTCATCCACCGTTAACCGTTATGTTTTCTGCTTTATCAACGCGCGCTTTGTCGGGTTATTTAGTGTGAAGTTTTCTCCGGACCGAGTTAGCTTTCCCTTTTCAGCGCATATTCTCTTTCCAAGTCTGTTCACTGTGCCCCTGATGAGAATGACAGACCTTCTGAGCAGACTAGAATTTTTAAATTAACATCAGTCTATGTCCCCCCCCTCCTATGTTAGTGAGCTCACTAGAACTTAATAACAGTGCACCATAGCTATTTCTCAATTTAGTTCTTGTATCGTTGCTAAATGAGTATTTATTACTTACTTAATGCTACACATTCTAATGAAATATATCTAACGTATTTGTGGCTATTTTTCCCGCAGCAACATGTAGTTTACGCTCAATGAACTAATGTGTCGTCATTGAACTGTTGTGTGGTTATTGAACTAACAAAAAAGAAAAACAAAGGTCCAAATTTACAGTAGCAACAAGCAATCGTTAACCACGCCGGATAAAATGCGTCAAAGCAGCCTTTTCTTTTTTTTTTGCTTTTTATGTCAGAGTTGTTCAAAAAGCGTAGACACATGCAGAACAAAAAAAGTGTTCTGACGATGCTGTGATAAAATGTAAACACTTCACATTGATCACTGCATTTCATAACAATGCTGTGGCGGGGTGTGGTAAAAATGGTCACAATATTAAACCACAACGTCGTCCAAACAAATGTCCCTAGAATGTTATAACTGTTTGAACATAACGTTTCCTTTCAGAGGTAACGAACTATATTTAGTTACTGCTGTTATTTAACTTACCAGCGTAGGGTGTTCCATAAGATAATGGACCACAGTTTGCCGTATCTCTTCATGAGACATCCTCATTCCTTTTACGACATCAAGCTGCTCTGAAAGAGCAAAAAACATGCAGTTTCCCTGTCCTTGATTGTCAGAAATCACAAAGCCTTTCTCTTGAGCAGTCCTCTTTAAATTCAGCGACAGTTCAGTTTGGTTGGGTTCTCTGCGTGCGTCTAACTGGATCTGCTGAAGTGTGTGGAATGTCAAGTCACCTGCAAACAGCAAAAGTACAAAATTACTTCCTGATCATGAAGAGGTGTAGTGCTTACAAATACCAGAGGGTGTCATTCAGGTTTCAAGCCACCTTATCACGTCTCCAATCCAAGACCAAAAAGAAGAAGAGAACAATTTCATGTGAGGAATTATTTTCTTTCAATTACTTTGGTGTAAAGGAAAAATCAATCTTCTATAAATGTAAACTTGACATTGAAGTCCGCGTGTACTGCTCAAAACAGGTTATGAGAGCTAATGCATTCAGTAGAAAACCACCAACGGATTTTAAAAGAAATTCAGCCTCACTAATACGTAGACTAAATTACGAACTGTGTGCTAGAAAAACTCAAGTTCACAGCATGCCAATGTTCACGGCCCTATCTAGAAGAGACATCACAAAGTCTTGACATCGATTACCGACTATTTTGGCGACAAATGAGTTCTCCCGAGTGCTGAATAGGTATATAATGTACTTTTTGTATTTATATATGCTCATAGGACAAATATACAGATTACTAAGCAATACTATATACGAAGAGTTCATTTTGATGATGCCCGCTCTATGAAAGTCTAACTGTAAGTTGCCTAACCCATGAGGACAGCAAGGTCGATGGTAGCTTTGTCTTGCTATCGGTTGCCTAAGGTGAATCGAAATTTTTCTTCTGCTGCTTCTTGATGTAACAGCAGGAGATCTGCCAAGTCTTTCATCCACACAGGAGTAAGGTGACGATGGCAACGTCATAGAACATCAATTTAATAAACAAGTGCCTGACCTAAAGCGCAGGAGCCGACCACCAAGCATCTTGAAATGACATATTAAGTGAGGTGGTGTGCTGCCACTTGGTGCCGGCTGTACCTCTGACTTGTAAAGACTAAGTGACAGTCAGTTCAAACATAAAATAGCATGAATTTGCACACTAAACAGTTCAAGAACTAATTATCATTATTTCACTGAAGATAGGTGCGAGAGCTTACCATAAACCATCTTCCACATCTTTTCAACAAGCAGCTGGCACTGTCTTTTCCAACTAAACCTTTCTTCATAAACTTTTCGCAATCTCCGGGTTTCCTCGAGCCGTTGTATCCCAGGTTTTTGACGGATAACACCAATTGCCTTTGCCCATTCCTTGGGGTCATCAGAATCGATCACAACTGACTTGCCCTCAGTAAGACCGCGCAGTGTTTCTCCGAATCCGGAGTTTCCACTAACTAGAATGGAAAGACCAGCTGACATCGCTTCCAGTGCTGTCAACCCAAATCCTTCACTTCTTGAAGGCATTATGACCACATCGACTTCGCAAAACAACTCTTTTAATCTTTCTTTGTTTTGTACAAATGATCTGACCGTCAGCTGGTTCCTTGAAATGCCAGTTTGCAATAAAATGTCTGCGACTTCATCTTGCTTTCCATCAGGTGCACCAACAAACAACAGACGATAAGAACTATCCTGCAGCTCAACAATGGCTTTAGCAGCAATGTCATATCCTTTGAGACTGAAGTCTTCAAAATCACCGCGGCCAAAGGTTAACACTTTAAAAGTCGCACTATCTTGTTTAGCAGGTTTAGTATCTGAAAACTCTGCAAATGAACCTGGTATCAACTGAAAGACATCTCGATGAGAATAACAAAGTTTGGATGCGAAAGCTTCCTTCAGCTTGGGTCCAACTGCCACAACGAGATCTGCAATTTGGCACAACTCAACTTCAGCTCTGTTCTTTCCTTCCCCTTTAGCAATGGCGTTAGCGTAGTTCTTATGCATTGCCAGCTCTTCAGGCTCAGTGTGCACAACTTGCATCCATTTGCAGCAATGATACTCTCTAATAATTTGTGCTTGTCTACCGAGCTTTGCACCATGACCTATTACAACTTGAATGTCAAGATCTTTTGGTGGAAAGCTCAACCAGTCAAGAGGATCATTGAAGGCTGGGCGACGCTGTACTTCCTTAATGGCAATGTTGTAACCTCTGGCAGTTCTCTGGTCTTCTTCGCCACACACGAATTCAGGTACAAGAAAAGTGACTTCGACGTTTGCGTGTTTTGCCAAATGTATGGCAAGTGTTCTGTTTATTGTTGACAAGCCACCCTTAGATGACCCCCATTCATTGGCCAGAAGAGCAACTTTCAAGATTGAACGCTCTGGAAGATTTTGTGCAGTATCAGGTGATGGAGTATACACTTCCTGTACGGGAGACAAAACGCGTATTTTAGAATAACTATTCTATCTGGGTGCCTAGCATGGACATTTTCAACTAAAACATGATATGAACAACTTGAAGATGCCAGAAATAGCTGTTAAGAAAAAAAAACCTAGACTGGACTTATAGAAGTCACAAATGCCAACTCCAACGCCGCCAGAAGGCCAGTTATTGTGACTTAACAAAGAACCCTTACGGCAAGTCATGTGATATGTGAAAGTTTTTCCTTCCATGTGGCAATGATGACGAGAGATTCTGACAGCAAACAATGAATGGACAAGATTAAGAATATTGGAGGGGCTGTACGATACACACATTTATTGAACAATAGATCTGATAAGGTTAATAGGCCTCTGTAAGGTTATTCAAAGGCTGAATTTTTAAGGCTAATCCTTCGTCTTAGCTTCAAGTATCAGCATTTGAGTCCCTACATAGCAACAATTGACCTAATCAACTGACTTAAGGTGGTTCCGTCATAAGTACAGCCGCATGGGGCTATGACAAACTTTTCGCCATAACGTCTTTGGTTTTAAGGTGATAGCACCAAAACTTCTGAAAGAACTACAAATATCATTCAGCAACAATATAAAATAATCCGATTTTACTAGTGGTAAATATCTTTTACGAATTAGTGCTTTTAAAGTGGATCATACTGTTCAGAGAAAAGAATTTTGCTGTTATTTTTGACTGAAATTTCTGGTATTGGCTTTTATTGACATAATACGTATGCCATATAAATTTCCCCGAAATCATTCGAGCAGAAGTCTGTGACTAGAAAGTCCTTCGAAATTCTTTAATGTCGAGAAACGAGTCATTTGACTTCAGATTAAGGTTTGTAGCAATTTATAGTGCTTCTACAACTAGAGAGTACCTTTTAAAGAATACCACGATTGGCTTTGTTTTACTGCGGCTTTGTTTTACTGCGCTTGTCACAAACACGCGAATTCTAAAGTTCAAAAGCCAACTGACAATTGCGTTTTTCGCTGCCGTCAATCATCTTAACGGATCTCTTAGGAAACAAAGCTTTCCTTTAACGGGTTCAAAAGGTCAAGGTTTATGATTTGTGATTGGTGGATTTCGATCCGTTTTGTGTCTTTCTGTGTTTCAAGGTTCGTTGCTTGTGATCGTAATTATGATTGACGGCAGCGAAAAACGCAATCGCGAAGGCGGCTTTTGAACTTTAGAGGTCGCATGTTTGTGAAAAGCGCAGTAAGAATAAGCAGCATTAGTATCAATTGTCCTGAAAATTCGAATTGGTGGCTCCCTGAGAGCAATTGGTTTACAAACTTAGCTGAATTTCTAAAAACTTTCTAGCTAGTTGCGGACTTCTGCTCCAACGATTTCTTATAGGGCACACTTGTTACATCAATAAAAGCCGATACCACAAATTTCAGTCAAAAATATGAGCAAAATATTTTACAAGGTGCGATTTTCTTTGAACAGTAGGGTCCGCTTAAGCACTAATTTCGTAAAAAATATTTACCAACAGTAAAATCAGATTTTTTTATATTATTGCTGAATGATGTTATAGTTCTTTGCAAAGTCTCGTAGCTATCGCGTTAAAACCAAATGGTTATGAAGAAAATTGCATCATAGCTCAATGTGCCTTTCTTAATACCGAAGTCACCTTAGTTTTAGTTTATTTCTTCTAGTCATTTTCATCTCTCTTCCTTTTCCTGCACTACGGAGATTCATGTGTTGGACCACATGGAGGCATACACTATGCATCATCTGTAACCTAATACCTTACATATTAAAAAGGGTTTAAGTACAGATAGACAACTAGCCATTTAATGGGACAATACTTAAGAGTGCGAGTTTCAGTTTGTATACAAGTAGCTCTAACCATCAGCATCGATAGAGACTGAACCTTGTTATTACCTACCTCACTTGTTATCTGTGAGAACCACTTTTCCTGTCCCCTAACAGTGAGTATTTTCTCTGAAGGTTTTTTCTTGCAAATCAGTGGCTCACCTCGTTTCAACTCCAGAAGGTGAAGACAGTCTTCATACGTACAACCCATCTGATTATGGCCTGAGCACTCATCAACCTGACAGTACGGACAGGCGACACGAATCTCGTACTGCAATCCACGCAAATACAGAAGATCACGTGACAAAGTTTGTAAAGTTACCTCCACAAACTGGCGCACCTGCACTGCCACTTCACTTGTGTCCTCCAGTGAAATCTTCTGAAGCTGGGTTTTTTGCTTGACAAAAAACTTTATGAACTGCTTCTTACAAATAAGAACTAAATCATAGAGAATTTTTCTCCCAATGATGAACCATGCTCCATTTTGATATAGGGTAGGGGCCTGAGCTGGACCAGCCTCTGAACACCACCTAACCAAGCGAGAAACAAGCCGTGTGAATAGGCCATGAGGAACAAAACCGGTAACAAAGTAAACATGAAGAGGACAAGGGTCGGAGCTTGAGGGTACTATGGCACAAATGGAATCAGGTGGCATTCTGAGCTGGCATGGCACAAAATACTTTTCAGCAGTTTTACAAGGTGAAAACTTTGCAATCAAACCAAATTGTTCCATCAGGTCCAGTATGTCATCCTTTGCAACGCCATTCAAAAGAAACTTAGAAAATACATGATGAAGAAGTTCCATGCTAAGGACACCACTTTCCTTAACTTCCTGCCACAAATTGGAAACCTTGGGTTCCTGAGAAATAAAACATAGAGTGATTATAAGGAGTTAAAAACGTTTGTGATAAAATGGGTGCCATCCTAGAAGAGAAAGCTAGTGCAACGGTTGAAAAACACGTACCGAATGTATTTCGGACCTTACCATTTTATCGAAAGGTGGAATAGTGATCAGCTGTTTGAATAGGTCTATTAACCACTCAGCGCTAAGAATGACTGTGTTACAGTGCTTGATAATTATCCCCAGGTCATGATAGAAATCCACCATGGTAGTAAACTCTTCCTCGTCAGTTATAAAGCAGTTGTTCCTTGCATAGGTTTGAAGTTTCTTCAAGTTTAAGTGGTAAACTTTCTTCGACAGCAAAGTACTGAGAACATTCTCAAAGTTCAGCCACCTAGTTTATAAAAAAAGTTTTCATGTCAATGGGCAGGGTAGTTAAATCGATTCATTTGCAGAAGTATGCACACAATCTAAAACAGAAGGGTGAAGATCTCCACATGACGCTAAGCTGAGAAAATTCTTTCAGTCCTGTCTTCCCAGTCAGGGCTAAATTTTTTCAGGTTCGTGTTCAACCGCTAAGGTTGTTCATTACACTGCGAGGATAATATTCGCTTTCACGTCTTCAGTTGTGTCCGTTTCGACTGGATTTAAAACGCGTTTTTCGGGAGTGAAGGGATTAACTATTGTTTTCGTTTGTTCTTGGCCGGTATGTTAATGTATTTAGAAATGTCGAGAAATACAGTAATTGATAAAAAATCGATTGAACTTAATTTGACTGCGTTGAAAATAGTGCAAACTTAAAGCAAGGGGCACACCTGCACCGACCCACGGCCGGTCCAGCAAGTCACGCATGCGCACAGCCATATCACGCGGGCAGTGGCTGTTGGGTTAATGAACAGAAAAAGCCTGTGTCTCAAAAACCTCTTACTGCCGAGGTGAGTGCAAAGCAGTCTATCAAGCGCCAGCTGCAGACAACCATATGGGAGCTGTTGGCTGGGAACCGCACAGCAGTTCTACCACGACATGCGCGGGGAAGGTGGATCACGAGTTACCAGTAATTAATGCAAGGGGCACACATACACCAACCCACGGACTGGCCATTACCTAACGCATGCGCACAGCCATGGACAGCTGTTTCGCTCTTACTGGGGCTTGTCAGCACGGCATAGCCATCGGTCAGCGACCAGGGAAAACCCGTTTATAAAGACGCTTTAATGCCGAGGCGAGTCCTTTAAGTGCCGGCTCCACACAACACATGTGGGAGCTGTTGGCTTTGGAACCGCAGCGCAGTTCTCCCACGAAATGCGCAGGGAAGGCAGATCATGGGTTTGGTGTATGTGTGCCCCTTGCTTTAATTTGTTTTTTGAAAATAGTGAACTAAACTGTTCTACTGCATAAAGAATTTGAAATCCCGACTTGACCCAGCAAATTTTTCGAGATACTGAAGTTCGTGTTTTTGTCCGAAATTGCGCACAAAAGTCATTTTGCGTAAAATTTAGTGTCTTATAAGTCAACTTAAAATCCTGGAAAAATCATATTAAAAGTCCGCGAATATTTAACGTAGACTTATATTTGGTCTCTTTTTAAAGCTAAAAAAAATTTATGCTGCGCCAATGAATCCTTCCGAATTATTTTGCTTCAAAGACAAAAATTTCGCTGCGTTATTATTTTTCTTAGCGGCATGCAATAAAAAATTCCAGAGGGCAAATGCGACAGTTATCGCGTAGGATGGAAATGATCTACCCGACGATTGGTTGAAGATGGGATGAGCACGGGAGTCTCAAACACGCACACGACTCGTGGATTCTCTGATCTGTATAAATCACGTTTTCGCTCGAAAACAATGCATTCTCTATCCTGCATTACGTCATGGTTGCCTTACATTACTCTATGTTACATCGATTCAAGATTTTTTCTGCCCCTGGAACAATCGCGCACGGCTCTATTAGGCTGCCGCCTCGCAGCCTTTCGTCTTCGCGGGGCTGCTCGTTGGCAATAACTTACAAGAATAAATACTTTCTCATACTGAATTGAAGGTCCCGAGTAGCGTTTTCAGCATTAATGAAATACAGATTCGGATAATTTTAAGGGTTAATTATAAAAATACAATATTTATATCATCAATAAAAAACACCATATTAGAAACCCAGTTATCCTATCCTTGAATTCGTGACTTAACTTATTTGCAAGGTAGTCTGGGACAAGACCGTTGATGCACCTAAACATCATGGTAAAAGCATAGCTACATCATTCAATTTAACCTTAAGTCATTAATAAGAAGCCACTTCAATGATCGTAACCCCTCCGAAATGAGGACATACTTTCCAAGGTCCCAGAACAATTCGTCCAGCAAAGCTTTTGACTTTTGTGACTTATTGAATATCTAGCTGCACAACCATCAAGTAATGGATTCTCGTGGGAGAATTGCTTAGCATTCAAGAAGCTTAAGTTGCTCTGGGCAAAGTCTAACAACCCTTCGTGCTTAGCAACCCCTATCCCTACCTATGTACTGCTGAAACAAGGCAAAATCGTAAAAGGACTGTAACAAAGGCTCCCAGGTGTATATGTACATAAACTGTAAATTCAATGCTGCCACACCTCATCCCTTAAAATGGGCGGAAATTTTATTGACATTATTTACCTTGCAGGTATCCTCTCTCCCATGTATGGCTCCTGCCTCAACACTTCCATGATTTTGTCCTTCAGCTCTTGGATGCCATCAATGTTTTTATCTTTTCTGAAAACCTTTTCCAACCTTCTCTGAATTAATTTTGCAGTGTTGTCGATGCTGAAGATAGGCCGCACCACATGTCCTTCATAGTCCTTACCAGCAATTGCTTCCTGTATTTTTAACTTCATTGATGCAATGTCTTCAAATGGTTTGTCTGCATGGGTACCTACAATGATCACCGGGGGGCGCAAATGAGGCAGCGTTCCTCCTGCATCATCACAGATTTCTCCTCTCATCTGCGTGATGCTATGCACGGTGGACAGCCAAGACAGCAGATTCTCCAAATTTGTTGCACCATTTGGGTTGTCCAACGAGAAGTTGTGATTTCCTTGTCTCACACAGGGTTTGGCAGTGTCATGCAATGATTTGCTAAGGTTGCACACCAAGATATATATTGCACGTGATGTTAAAAATACAGGATGGGAAGCATAGTACAGCTGTTGTCCAGCAAAATCCCACAGTTCAATGCTACTAACGGATTTTTCAGTAACAGCTTTTTTACCTTTTACATACTTTATCCACTCCTTAGCGTGTTTTGTGATCTCCTCTGGTGGTGAAGTAGTATCAATCAGTAACTCATGTTCAGGCTCTGATGATGATAACAGTTCAGGGACCTGTTGCAGGGAACCAGAAAAAGAGAAAACTTTAACTGTTGCTGGTAAATTCCAAAAGAAAATAACATTGTTTACCTTAAACGAGACCATCCAACTCGAACATACATTGGGTGAATGGGAATTAACCAGCAGAGTATTCTAGACACAAAGCAGTCCCTCTTGATGGAAAATCTGTGAGAGCACGCGATGTGCGAGTGTGCGAGCGTTAGCGCGACGATCAGTGAGTTGGGCGGGTGCCTGAAGAAGCTGCTCGTAGTCTAAGAGAACACTGTTCTGTTTAGTGCTACGTGGACGACACCAAGTTCCTTTTGTCGTTCCAGCTTCGATACCAATCACACAATAACAGAAATAAATCAAGATCTTGCAAGAATACGTAACTGGTGCTTTAATAACCAGTTCCTATTAAACCCCGACAAGACGAAGCTCCTAGTCTGTGACAGTAAGCAGATGGCCGCAGAGATTGTCAACTTCCAGCTTTCGCCCCTTGGAAAACAGCTTACCCTATTAGAGGCCGCCAGAGACCTTGGTGTTATACTTGATACTGTCAGTAAGTTTCAATGATCATGTCACGGCAACTGCCGCTTCTTGTATGTCGCGATTAGGTGAGGTATATCGCGTCAAACACTGCTTTGATAACCGCAGTTTAATTAATATAATCAATGCCTTAGATTTTAACAAACTTTATTATTGCTCCTCAATTTGGAGTAATACATCACAAATGTTGTGAAGTATGTTATGGGTTATTTTAAGTTTATTTCCTGTTTGTGCTTGATGTTTCACTCGTGACTAGAGTCTTGTTATGATCAGTTTATAGATCCGCAAATTCTATAACCTTTTAAAGTAGTTTTTCAACATGAATGTCATTTATTAAACTGGAGTGTCAGTCCTTTAAGTGGGCACGTTTTGGAACCATCGCTTACCTCTATTGTTACCTACATCAGTGTTCCTGTTTTGGTTTAAGGTAGAGCCTCGTGAGTGTAGCTGTCAGGTTTTCATTGGTTTTCTTATGGGTTGTTTATCCCACTTCGGTTATCAACAGGAAATTCGTTTAAGTCATTGGGAAAAGCGATTGTAACTCTGATGGTCAGCAAGCCTGAACGTACCTATGTTTTACTTATAGAAGTTGCCAGCATTTAGCACAAGTTAGTTAGTAGCTGAGATTAGCTAGTTAGTTGTCTAGCAGAATTCGTTAAGTGATGCTGTAAACAAGACATATGAGCTGCTGTAAAGATTAAAGAACACCAAGATGTATGTAAACTCAGATATCTGGTACTTCTACGCTTAGCGAGCGAGTTGCTCGTAAACCCCCTAGATATTTTTGGTGGAGAACCCGGGCAAGAGGTTTCTAGACATGGGGCACCACGTGCGTTGCTCTCTGACAGGGGAACTAACTTTTTAAGGTCGTTGCAGAAGTTTGTAAAATATTCAAATTCAAAAGGTCAATACTTCTAGTTATCGCCCACAGACCTATCGTCTTGTAGAAAGGTTTAATTCTCCCTTGTGTCAGTCTTTGTCAATGTACCTTTCCAAAAACCAGAAAGATTGGGATGAGTTCATACCGCTTATTTTGTTTGCGCATAGGACTTCTGTTTTAGATGCAATTAGGGATTCTCCTTTTGACATTCTTTATGGGCGAGAGCCACGCTTGCCAATTGACGTCAAGTATTTGCCTCTTGCGGCTGATGATTTGAGTACTTCGGTCCTTGACTATCGAAAACGTGTTGTAGAAAAGGTTGAGTTAGCGCAAAATCTAGCTAGAGAAAATTTACGACGTGCACAACAAAAAATGAAGGATTATTATGATCAAAAGACAAAAGAACCTGTTTTTGAAGTTGGCCAACGCGTTTGGGTTTATACTCTGAGAACTAGAAAAGGATTATCCAAAAAGTTAATGCATAACTGGTTGGGTCCATACAGAATCGTTGAGAAGTTGTCGCCAGTGCATTTTAAGTTGCGCATGATCAATAAAAAAGTTGCTTTTTCGTGTCACGTAAATCGTATGAAGATCCCGCCGAGCCATATTTAGATGAATCTGATATTCCAAAAGATTGTTTTGAGCCAAATAGTTGTGTGCATGCTGAAGAGAATCCTTTAGACATTGAGTGAAATCCTGTTGGCAAACAAGCACTAGTGACCCCACAATCTCATGAAGAGAAAGAATCAAACAAAGAATCAGACCAAGAAAAGACAAAGAATCAACTTCAAAATGAAAAACAACCAACTCCGGAAGCAATTGTTATCGACAATAAAACTATGTTTGGTGCAGAAAAAGTTCTAAAACATCGAAAGAGAAACAGCAAGGTTGAGTACTTGGTCAAGTGGCTCTACTATCCTAAAAGTCCATCAACGTGGGAACCGGAAGAAAATATTTTGGATAAACGTCTCATTGAGAATTATCTCCGGTCACCAAAATAGTCTTAGTCTCCAGTTTGTTGTAGTCTGCCTTGCTGCTGGGTTTGTGTTTTGTGTTTTTACTTACACTTCTATTCACTTTTCCCAAATTTATTTTTATTGATGGATTCATGAGCGTCCTCTCTCTTTCTCTCTCTCTCTCTCTCTCTCTGCAATCTTTCTAGTGTTAGGGTTTTTTGTAAGTTTTTCATCTTCAAGTTTAATAAGTTTTCTTTCTTTAGCTAAGATTACTATGTTCCTACTCGTTAAGTGTTGCTTTTTACGTACGACCCGTCAAGCTACCAAGCTTTAAATGTTGTCAAGTGTAAATGAAGATTTTTGATTTTGATTGGTAGATTTTGTCTGAGATGGGTATTATGTTATTTTGTTGAGCCGTACGTGTTAGGTGATTAGATAGCTGTTGTCCTTTTTTGTAGCCATTTTGTTAATTGTTTGCAATGGTAATTCGTCATTTATTCAACGGTTCTTCGAATCTTCATTAATCTACTCCTGTGAAGTGGAACTGCATATAACCGGAGAAGAGGAGAAGTCAAAAACACACCTGAATTTAAAACGTCGGCTGTGCTATGTGGTGGAGTTTGACCTCTACTTGGTTACGTTTAAGCCGAACTATGCCTGTTTATTCTATTACTGGCCAGAACATTCTATCTTTAACAGACAAGTTCACTGCTTTTTCATGAAATTGTATTATAACAAAAGCATATGTTACAAGCAAGATAGCCAGCTATTCACGAGACATGCATTGTCTGCTTCAAACAACCTCAGTATGAAGTCAGCAGACAGCGCTAATTACAAGACGAGATAAATTGCAGCACGAGTCGTCGTCTGTTCTCCTACAAGATGAATCTGTGTCTACCAATCTAAACTTTTTCAAGATGTTCACACTAGAACGCTAATATGCATTTGTTTTCAAGCACTCAGGACTCAAGAACTTTCATCTACTTTGGACATTTAACTTTGAACTCTTAATTAATATTAGTGGTAGTTTTATAGTCGTTTTGATATTTCTCATTATTTCCTCAATAGTTTTTCAAATTTTCCTTAGTGTTCTTCCGCTAGTTACGTTTGTTCCTTAATTTTTCATTTATATACGTCCAATTGCATCGAGGACGGTGCCTCTTCTAAGGAGGGAGGAATGTTGTGAAGTATTCTGTAGGTTATTTTAAGTTTATTTCGTGTTTGTTCTTGACGTTTCACTCGTTACTAGAGTCTTGTTATGATCAGTTTATAGATCAAGGTTAATCCGTATTTGTGTCGACAGGTTTTCAAATTCTATTACCTTTTAAAGTAGTTTTTCAACATGAATGTCATTTATTAAATTTGAGTGTCAGTCCTTGAAGTGGGCACGTTTTGGAACCATCGCTGACCTTGATTGTTACTTACATCAGTGTTCCTGTTTTGGTTTAAGGTAGAGCCACGTGAGTGTAGCTGTCAGGCTTTCATTGGTTTTCTTATGGGTTGTTTATTCCACTTTGGTTATCAACAGGAAATTTGTTTACTTCATTCGGAAAAGCGATTGTAACTCTGATGGTCAGCAAGCCTGAACGTACCTACGTTTTACTTATATAAGTTGCCAGCATTTAGCACAAGTTAGTTAGTAGCTGAGATTAGCTAGTTAGTTGTCTAGCAGAATTCGTTAAGTGATGCTGTTAACAAGACATATGAGCTGCTGTAAAGACTAAAGAACACCAAGGTGTTACGAAGCATAACATTTAAACATCTTCATGATTCAAACGGTGAGTACAGTGATGCAGCTGTTTAAGGGTTCATATTTTAGTGTAGCTGCTGGTTTAAGACATTTATGACCTAATTCGGCTATCGCGAGCCGCACAACGTACGTGAAGATGTTTCACCTCCTTCAAAGTGAAGTACAAAAAATAACAGTTTTCAAAGGTCTAAAAATGAAACGTTAATAATTGGTATTTAGATAGTGACTTTAACTTGCAAGTATGCGTAATTGGGTTTTAGAAGCTTGAACAAGAGTTGATTTTTTTAAAGCTGTACCGAGTAAACATGCTTTATTCTCTCTCGCACGAAGTTCAACATACTTTTAAATTCACGTTCTGGCAACTTAAGGGTAACCATATCTGATACATGTTTGCTGTCATAAAAGTAATTAAAACTCAGTGGATAAGTAAAGATGCGTAACTTTTGCGGTTTTTTTTTAGCGAATAAACTTGGAAGTAGCAAGTTGACGAAATAATTAGAGATTGTTTCATTGAGTGGAATAACATGAGATGAGTAGAAATCAGTATTTCAGCAGACAATCATTCTGTTAAAATTAAAGTACAATGAATGAGGCATAATTTTATTGCAGATGTTAGAAAAGGAGGTGATTTGTTAAAATCGTTTGAGCGAAATCATCTCCTTACAATTATGCGTTCTTTCACGTACAAATTTTAAAAGGGGCAAAGTCCAACACTTTCACGTGCCAGCTGTGTGACTGTACATCTCATACAGATTGGCTTTTCACAGTAATAATAGTAACTTGAACGTGTGAAGACCTGTTTCAAACCTTGTCTTTTAAGAAGCAATAGCTTTTAAAACATGAAGAATTAAGTTGTCAGAGTTTAAAGACTGTTTCACTGAGTAGAATCGCACGTGAAAACCTCGTGAATTATGAAGATGCAACCATCTACCACAATGATAAAAATCCTGGCATTTTGTAACGATTCGGTATTCGATGAGCCACATTTTCTTAAGAAACTCCGAGGAAACCTTAGAGTTTTTCCTCTAATCAACGTTTGGTGAGTTGATATTTCATGTGCTTTAACAATTTGTTTAACTTGAACTGGATGTATCAGGGAAAAACAGAGGAAAGTGAATATATAGCATGAGGATCGACTCAGTTGAGTGTTGCGCGTTTTCATTTATGTACCGTAATACCCAATTTCGCACAAAAATCCATTCTACATTTAGGATGAAAAAGGTCATGACTCTTGGTAAGGTTACACTGAAGCATTCAAAATATCTCATGCACGTTAAACGTGCCTATGTTTTAGATTTGCAACTGGCGAAAGAACTTTTTATTATAGAAAAGTATCTCTATGGAACGCTCTGCCGCAAAATATAATGTAAAGTCATTTAAGACTATGTTGAGAAAAAGACTTCCAATGGACTCTAACTGAATTTATAAGATTATTTTAATTTTTGGACACGTAGAACTTTTTGTATTTTGTTTTGTATAATTATATTTCATTGAAAGGCCCCGTGGGGACGTGAAATAAATAAAGGCAAAAACAATATTTTACTCACTCGCTGCTCTCGTTCGTAAAATATTGTTTTGCTACTCGAAAATAAAATTCATATCTTCGCGCCACCGTGTAACATCCTCTATGTATGTATTCAAGAATGCAAACCCGTTTCATGCTTGGTAACGAAATTTTATGCATAAGAAAAAACAAAAGCTGTCTCGTCTTATTGCTTCTTGTAAATAACTAGTAAGTTTTGCTCGGGCTAACTGATGATGGAGATATATTTGCATTCGAAAAGTTTCTTAAAGTAGCTGAATAGTATATTGCGCTTTCATGGAGCTGTCAAACAACTTTTCCAAACCATCTGATTTTATCTTAAATTCACGACTTTTTCTACACTTTTTCTAAGACAATAGATTCCTTTTTTCAGAGTCAAATTTACCAAAAAACCGATCGACTCACTGCTAACGACGGAATCAAGAAAAACACTGCGGAGAGCGGTTTCAAAAAGATGCGGTTTTGGTGAGTGAATTAATTCCCGGGATGTGGAGGGAAGCCCGATTCATGTAATTAATAATGTATATGGTTTCAAAAATATTCCGATTTGTGTGAACGGGGCTTTAAAAGTTCCTTCCAAATGATTTTCTTAAGCGTTGACATTGAGTTATAGTAACTAAATATTTTTACTGTGTGTAATCAAATGGTGATGAGTGAAATTAGGGAATAATTTTTTTTTTCACGAGTATACCATTTGATTACCTATTAATATCATGGGAGACGAATTACGTTAGCAATCTTGGATTTTTGACATGTTTATCCTGGATCGTATCGATCGAGAACTCCACTCTCTCAAATGTTTAGACCTTAAATTTGGCTTATACAGTTCAGAATTTTTCAGACTTTTTCGGCAACATACCTGTTAGAATCCTCCTTGATGTTCTCTTGTGTGTTCAGCTTTTCTAAAGCGTCTTTTTGTGCCCTGACATCTTCATTCACGGCAGTTTAAAACTTCGTCGCGATCTTGACACTAAGACGTACGGAACGGTTGCCATGGCAATTTTGTAATTTCACATAATTTCACATGTGAAATTACAAATTAACGCTGAAATTTCACGCCAAAATTAAGGAGTAATTCGTCACCTATGATATTATAGGTAATACTTAATAATACTTGATAAGTACAATAAAATGAGAGGATTAACTAGAGACAAACCTGGTTAAAAAATGAATCGTCTTCCTTTTCATCATCAGCATCACCAGCCTTTTCCCCATTCTTATAATTTTCATTTCGAAGGTGATCACTGTCGTGCTTTTCTGCACCTTTTTCCTCCTCCCGAAACCAATTATAGCGATTTAAAATACAAAGCTTTTCTACCACCATCTGTGCCACAGCTTTAGAACAGCCCAACAACCCTCGCTCACTCTTATCAATGGGTTGCCAGTTCTTAACTTCGTGAGCATCCACTTGAAAGATTGACGGATCCACTTCAATTCCTTCAGTACTATTTTCTTTAGGATCAAATGGTAGACCAATGAGAGATTTTTTCAAACTTGTTTTTCCTGCTCTATCCTGACCAATAAGCAATATCCGAGCTCGTTGAACATTAACAGCTCCATCTCTAAGAGCACGTTGATAAACAAGCTGCGCTCTTTTTCCTCGTGCTTCTATTTCCTTGGGAGCTACAAAGAATAAGAAGTTTTTTAAATCATGTGCAAGACATGACCCTTGTAAATGTGCTGTTTTAGTTGCCACGTCAGTCTTTGTTTATAGCTCACTTCGAAAAAGAGTGATAGCCCGGGACCCAAACTAAGCGCGCGCGCATTTATGGGATTGTTTGGGGGGACAAGTCGAGCATCCACCTTGAATTACAGTCGACTCCATTCCTGATAACTCGAACCCTCAAGGGAAATCGAAAAAAGTTCGAGTTATCGGGAGTAAGGAAAAAACAGTTTTACTGCACAGTGAACATTTTAATCACATTTAATTGTAGAAATGTTAAGTGAAAATTGAAAGATACTTCTAGATTATAAATCAGAATGTAACGTAACAAAACATTGCCTTAATGGCGCTGCGTTTTACTATTTTGAGGCTTCACGTTAGATTTGTGACAGACAACATAAGCCTCCACTAGTAAACTATATGCATACAACATGTCAATGGGAAATTCAAAATTCAATATTTCGGACACCAGTACACTGTTTTTCCCGACTTCTTAAGGGCTCAAAACATGCCTTTCGAGTTATCGAGGGTAACATTATTGAAATGATCTGAGGGGAAACAAAAACTACTTCGAGTTAGCGGGAGGTTCCAGTTACCGGGGGTAAAATTACAGTAAATCTATGATGGAAATCCAGGGGAAATAGATTTTGGTTCGAGTTAGCGCAAGGTTCGAGTTGGCGAGGGTTCGAGTTATCGGAAGTCAACTGTATGACGAGACATGCAAGTTGTTGTGTGCCTTTGTGCGCAATTAATTTCAAGAGCTCCCCTGGTCTGGCATTTTATAGAATACCAAAGACAAGACGTTTTTTTTCTGTTGTTTTGGCTCCACGGCAAAGAATCAATCTCTGAAGCTTTTTCACGGTGCATTCTTCCGGTTTTTCTCGAGGTAAAATCGCCCACGACACATATTCCGTCAGCTTTCCACTTTCCCCTTTGCTATTTTGAGCTGTTTTAACCCCGCTGGAACATTCCACTTCGCTTTCCGACATGTTTGTTCACATTCGCATCCCCCCAAATAATCCCACAAATGCGCGCGCCTAGTTTCGGTTCCAGGCTTTCACTCTTTCCCGAAGTGAGCTATTAGAACCGACAAGTAACCTGCAAATCATAGTTACACAGTTTCACAACACACTAATCCCTGCATGGGCAAAAACAACTGCAAATCTGTATGCTGTTCAAACTTACAATCCGGACACTCAAAAATCCGGAGATTTGAAAGAAGATTGTTCAATTACAACGTTTTGTGACCACAAGATTCTCATTTTTTTTTTGCATACGGGCCATGCAACAACATCCATCAATTTAAGGGCTGTTTCCTGAGAGGTCAGTTAAGTTTAAACGGTTTTAAAGTTTTCAACGGTTGCATATTGGTCCGTCTGCAAAAAAACTTGAGAATCTTTTTTTTCTGAGAAAACGCTGTGACTGGACAATTTTCTTCCAAGTGTCCCGGTTTGAGTGTCCGCACTGTAATGTACTAGTTTAGTCTTGACGGTCTTGTTACCCACAGTAATATTGCTAAAAGGATTCAGTGATAACCGACTACTAGCAGCTGCTACTCAGATTAATGCTAACAATCAAGGACATAATTAAAGAAATCTTACGATAGAGGTTACAGTGAATTGAAAGTTACTTTTTAACCGTTATCGTTTCCTTATAAATGCGCAACATTCTAACTTATTCTCAGTCTACATTTTGCTCCTGAGGAGTTGACATGAGTTGGTTCTGTTCTGTCTGCGAAAAATCCTTTAGTAGAAAAGATAATATGCAAAGGCACGTGATGTCTAAACACCGCAATGCTGGTCTCACCCCATTTCTAACAGTTGCAATGTTTTCACAGAAATGTCAGCGGTTTTGCTTTGAGCATCCTTTCACCTCCATGACTGCCGGAATGACCGGGTCCGGACAAACGGCCTGGGTTCGATCTCTATTGCAACAAGTTTCAGAGACAATTTACCCTTCCCTGGAGAGGATCGTTTGGTGTTATTCACAATGGCAGCCTGCGTATACACAAATGTTAGTCACCATGCAACACATTGAATTTGTCAAGGGAATTCCTACGGCTTTGGAGCAGCATTCCTATTTTGATGTGAACAAACGGAATTTGATCGTGTTTGATGATCAGATGATTGACGCCAGTAAAGACAAACGAATTGTGAACCTCTTTACTCGTGGTTCTCACCATCGCAATCTAAGCGTGATTTATTTCGTGCAGAACCTATTTCATCAGGGGAAAGGTGGCCGCACCATAAGCCTAAACAGCCATTATCTGGTGTTATTCAAGAATCCACGAGACAAATTGCAAATCTTGACTCTGGCCAAGCAAATGTATCCCGGACAAACGGATTTCTTCTTAAATCAGTACGAAGAGCCTGTAAAAAGACCTTTTGGTTATCTTCTGATTGATCTGAAAACTACTAACCAGATAATTGTCGACGGCGAACAAACGTCCTATCCAGTGAAGAAGGCTTTAACCAAGCAGGGTTTCAAGAAAATATTCCTCAGGCGCTTCTAAAATATCTGAAGCAGCAAACTCTTTCGCCTGTCCCACTTCTTCCAGCTATGTAAGAAATACAGGGCAACATGGATGACGTGCTTTCTGGAAACGATCTCCGAGACGATGAGAAAGCTAAGCGATATTTTCAGTTGCAAAACAGATACCTAGCTTTTAAAGAACACTTAAGTACAAAAACACGACCGGAAGAAATAATCAGCACTGTTCCAGACTTAACATCAAGCACACAAGATTCTTCGACAGCAACGACACCATTCTCCACTCCCCTCAACCCCTTCATCTGAACACCTGAATTAACACAAGCGGCTATCTCTCAATAACCTGACAAAGAAAGCTTCACCCCTCCACCACCCTTAAATCCTGCTTTCCTGACCCCTCCTCCCACAGTAGAAACCTCATCACAACAAGGCCCGAAGCGCAAAAGGCGTCGGATTCAATTTGTAAATTATTTGGATGATCATAAAGCTCATGGCAAACAGCTGAGGAAACGTCGATATAAGAAATTCAAATCTTACAAGTACTCCAAGGGCGAAGAAGATGAGGATTAATTAAATTTCCATTCCTAACAAATCGCTTTGTATTTGACTCTTTTTGTTATTGGTTTTTAACAAAGTTTTTAAAACGGTATCTCTTGTCTGGTTCTATTGCTAGCAATTATTAGTCGCGTCGGATTCAATTTGTAAATTATTTGGATGATCATAAAGCTCATGGCAAACAGCTGAGGAAACGTCGACATAAGAAATTCAAACCTTACAAGTACTCCATGGGCGAAGAAGATGAGGATTAATTAATTTCCATTCCTTACAAATCGCTTTGTATTTGACTCTTTTTGTTATTGATTTTTAATAAAGTTTTTGAAACGGTATCTCTTGTCTGGTTCTATTGCTAGCAATTATTAGTCGCGTGTTTCAATTGATTCTTGTTAAGTTATTTAAAATTGTTTATATAATAACACGTCAAGATGCTCCCTTGGGTTTTTTCTGTAGAGATGAACTAATTTGTATTCAACTTTGGGCTTGCGAACTCGCATAATTAACTGACTAACAGTGCGTGAAACGCTGAGACTTCAATAGTTAGTCGTTTCCTTGAGATAGAAAGGAGAAAACGGTTTTGCAATAGTCAAACAAACTTGAAATAAAGAGTTTTCATCTCCACTTTGTGTATGTGTGTGTTTTGTTTATATATGCGAGTTTTTGCGCTAAATAAGAAGACGTTAGCTAAATTGAAATAAAGACTTTTCATCACCACTTTCTGTATGTGTTTTGTTTATATATCTGAGTTTTAGCGCTAAATAAGATAAAGTGAGCCGTTTCTCGCGTTGCTAGGTGATCGCTTCTCTTATTCCTATTTTCCTTTTAATAGACCGTCCGAAAACCGGGCTCAAGTTTCTTAACGGGCAAGCCGAGGCTAGCCTATTGTGCTTATTGTAGTATTTGCTCATTACACCTTTTGCTGTTCATCACGAGAAAATACGCATTCATTTGCGTGAAAAGGCGACCAACAGCGGGAAGATACATTCATTAGCGCGAAAAAGCGAACATTTGCGCGTAAATCAGATTCAATAACGATTTTTGCATTTTAATCAACATTCAATAACATTTTTGGGCATTCATTAATTTGCGTCATTCGACATACAAAAGAGAAAAATATACTTTCATTAACGCCAACATTCGAGTCATTAACATTATCTTGAAAATCATTCGGGGCAATAGAAAACATCTAAGTGCAAACGCTATTTATTAACATTTTTATGATACCGTTTGCAATTCAATAGCATTCCTGGACAGCTTTAGAATGGATAAGACAAACATTAATGCCCTTGTACAATCAATTGAGCGTTCTTTACATTTAATATACAAAAATATATTTTCAATTAAACAATACCAATTTCCCCAAAAAAAAAAAAAAAAAATTGACCTGAATTTGTTTAAAGAATCACGCCGTACTTCGCCACTGTGTGTTCGTCGACGGCTGCGGCTTTACATTTACCCTAGACGGCCAAAAGTCATGGTGGGGCGCGACAGGGAGTGGAGGGCGTACCTCCAAGTGTGCGGCCAACGAGGACGAAACTTGACTATGACCATGGCAATATTACCTATCAAATGTTTTCCTCGGCCGGAGCTGCTCAAGTAATGAATACTGTGTCGGTTTTTCGGTGACTTTCTGGCACGGGCGAGGAAAAAATGAATCCCGATGAGTCGGTGGTCTTTGCGCATGACGGGGTGCCAGCCACCCAAATTTGGCCATTCTCGCTCCATACCTACAAAGCTTATGCTTCCCCCCTCGACATGAAAGCGACACCAAAGGCCGACATCTAGAGTCCGGAAATTTAAAGATGTACAACAGGAATGAGGGCAAAGCCCTAGCAATCCCACTAGCGGAGTTCGGAAACAACAACTGCAGTGCTTGAAGCTCTGCGCAGAAACCTGACTTCGTGACCGCAGCTAAACGT